TTTAATATCAAAGTTATTTCATAATTTAACTCCTGTTCAGGTTGAATTTCAGGCTTAATTGCAAAGAGTATAATGCTTTTTATCTAAGTAAACTCTTCAATGGATTGAGTTTGCTTTTTTTTTTTTTTTCTTTTTTTTTTTTTTTTTTTGGTACCAGGGATCAAACTCACAACCAGGGAGGCACTTAGGCCACTAAGCTAAATCCCCAGCCCCTTCTTCAATGGTTACATAGGTATTGTATGTTTTAGAAGAATATCATATTGATTAACTGAATAGTGTGAAGGTGGGTCCTTGGCTTATAAGATGAGAAACTCATGTAAAAACGAGCTACTGAGTAAATGTAAATAGTGCCATTGTGGTTATAATTTGCAAGTGTGCTACATGATTCCACCTCTAACTACTACTTCTTCTACCTGAAACCTAGATATACAGTAGAAACATTTTCACAATGTCAGGAACATGTTGAGCAGAATACTCATAGTTTGACCAATATGTCAGTAAGCACTGGCTAGTTTTGACTTTTTAAAAATGAGAGTAAGCCAGGCATCATAATGTATGCCTGTAATCCCAGAACTTAAAAGGCTGAAACAGGAGGATCCAAGAGTTCAAGACCAGCCTTGGCTATAAAGTAAATTGGAAGCCAGCCTGAGCTACCAAGGTAGCTCAAATTGTATAGTAAAACCCTGTCTCAGAAAGACAATAAACAAGTAAATAAATAAATCAATAAATAAGAAAATAGGTCATTTGTCATAAATCAGTCATTATGTCATGTATGAAACTTTTCTGTTAAGAAAGTAAAAGTTAAGTCTAAATGATCATTCATTTAGTGAATTGTAGTAATGATTTCAACATTGTATTAGGGCCCACTACAAAGTAAAAATATGGAATACCATATTCCTACCATCAGAGAATTTTCATTTACTCCTATAAAAAAATTCTTCTACCTTATGGATTCTTTCCCAAGGAAAAATTCAACTGCAAAAAGATAGATGCTCTAATACTACATTATCATTTATAATAAGAGAATATATACAGTAATCTGAGAAATTAGAGAATTAAAAAATTATTAAGCATTGACATATACTCATTTGAATATAAAACCTGTTGAAAATGTAAAATATTCATAAATGTGAATTAAAGGTAATATACAAATAAAGTAATACAGAATAAAGAATAAAGGTAATATCTGTGTAGTTTTAACTGTAACTGGAGTGTCAATAAAAAACGTTATATTATAGCAGTAAGGGAGAAAAGCCTTTAACCATGTGATGATTTTATATTAAAACAATTTTATTTCAGTAATGTTACAGAAATCATGACCTCTCAAATAATTTTAATAGATTTACTACTAGATCATTTTCACATAATTAATATAAAACAGGAAAACTTTTGAAGATGAAAACCTTCTTACTTTTAAAGGTTAGTACTGATATTTACTATTATCCTATCTAAGAACATTTTAAGGCTAGCCCTAATATAATCAAAGTACACATCAGAATAAAAATTTGGGGGGGTCTCTTAGAGCTATTCATTTTTACATTTTCAATACATTTGAATATGTATAATACTACCTTTACACCTATACGCCACCCTTTGTCTCAGTCTAAATGGAACATAATTTAGACCTGAAATTTCCTAATTCCAGCCTCTCCTCATTTTTCTAAGAAAGAATTAGACCCTTACCCTTCTGTAATATAAGTGCTTTTGAAAATGTGAGCCACTGGCTTTCCTATAAAGACATTTCTCAGTTGGGCAGCACCCACTAATCACCAAATAAAGGAAATTTCTACATGCTCAGCAAAGAACAAGCTGAATTTATCATTGTACACATTTGATAAGAAAGGGCATTTATTGTTTATTAGGTGATGTTCCAGACAATTCATATGAGGATGATGAAACCTAACCCAGGAAGCCAGAAAGTAGCAGCATTTTTCAACTTCATTATAAGATAAGGTGGAAGCAAAGTTATTGCTCAGTGGCTGTGAACAACTAGGGGACACTGAACTTACTAAATCAACTGCCGGTGCAGTCATATAAAGGCCAAAGAGTAACTAGGTTACTAAAGATGTGTAACGAGAAAGGGAATTATGGTACTGAAACATTTTGGAAGCAAATACTGGATGTTTTCCAACAGGGAAAGAAGCCATTTCAGTCATTTAGTTAACATTATGTCCTTTCATTTCCTTTTTATGTAAAGAATATAAAATTAGCAAATTAGGGTTGCACTCACCAATTATATGAAATTGTAAAAGTTCAAGTGTTATCCTGGCATCATCTCAGAAGTAGAAGTTATTTGACTTCAGGAACAACACAAAAGTATAAAGAGAAAATGGATTAAACACATTATTGAATTTTGTTCATTTTTAGCACATTTTTTGCCAACTAAAGATATGAGATTCCATTACTTTAAAATAAAATGTTCAGTTTTCTAACATATATGGTTTTATTTGCTAGTAATTAAGAAAGGTACTCTATTCATTATGATATTGAAACTTAATAAAGTACAGCAGTGCTTCCAAAGTATATTAGATAGGCCAGACAAATAATTTTTAAAAAATAATGCAGAACCTATTCTGAATTCACTTAAATACTAAAAAATGCAGATTAATGTAGTGAACACTTTAAAATGTTCTAATTAGCCTGTTTAATCATGTCAACCATGGAGACCTTATAATATTTAGTATTATGATTTTTTTGTTTAATAATATTTATTACCATAAACACCTATAGGAAACTTTGAAGAAATATAGCAACAAAGTATTTGCTAATAAATACTGTAATTGCTTTTTCAACTTTTGTACATGAAGAATTTTATTTTCCAGTCAAATTATGAGTTATTCTGATATTAACTAGGATGAAACAGCCCACAGACATATACAGTATAGAAGACAAAAATATAGGTTAGGCTCCAAAATATAAAATGTTGTGCTAGAATTGAGTAGTGGTTCAAAAAAGGACAGAAGCCACTATGAAGGGTAACTAAAGGGTAACTCAGTATAAAGTAGTCTAATCACAAGACATACTCATTTAACTTTCACAAGTTCCAATTATGTATAAGTAGCAAAACAAACAAACAAAAAACCCCTAAACTTCTCCATCATTTCTGATCACCCCCACTTCCCTTTTCTACTGGGCCTTAGTTTAGAAAAAGGGAGGTCAATGTAGGAAAGAAAAACCAAATAAAAGAATTCTAGGCCTGTCAGAAGGATTCTGTCCTGAATTCCAAGGAAGATTCCTTTTAACGTTTTGAAGAGTATAACTTGTTATAAAAGACTCAGGTCCTTTATGCGTAAATTTTAAGGGTAAGAAATTTTAAGGGTAATTTTGATTGCTAGGGATTTTCAGTTTTCACCTTAATCAATAATCTTAGAACTAACTTCCAATTCTGTGTATTTTTACCATAACAATACCAGCATTTATTTATATAGAGTAATGTACACTTTTGCTTTTTAGTGAAGGACTTAATATTTCAAGTAGATTAATCACAAGTTCTCATAAATTAGCAATTTCAAGTTACAGTGGAAATAGTTACAATATGAGTGGCAAAAACATTACAATGAAATATTTCAAATAATAGTATTAAAACCATAATTCTAGTTAAGACTGTATGAATTCTCTCATTCTTTAATTTTTATGAAACTTTGATTAACCATCAATATTCCGATAAAAAAGTAATTCAATGATTCACTTCTAATAAGAACATATTTAATTATCTAGAAAATATTGACTTGACTGAAACTCTAAATATTGTTACTGTTTTACCAGTTAATGCACATTCAAGATCTGAGAATTTCTTAAATGATAGCTTTATTACTCTAGGACTAATAACAGTGTATCACTTGGAAGGCTAATAATACATAGAAAGTGCTATTATCAAAGCACTTTTACTGCCAAATATTTTTTAAAGAGACCAAATTTTTTTATATTTTCATATATTTCTGTAAGGAGACTATATTGTAGAAATAGTCATCAGTTTTTGCAATAATTTCTAAAGTTAATTCCATTTTACTTCTTCAGTTCTTTAGTTTTATAACTATTATAAATACACATATAGCATATGAATGTATACATGTATACATGTATTATTGAAACACATCTGTCCAAAATAATACCTTTATATTATTTTTATCTTAAAACTACAGAAATATACCCAACTGAAACACCTTTGGCATCTGGTCTTAGAAACTAAAATAATGATTATGCATTATTGGCTTTAATATCCATCAATGCTACATTCCTTCTTTGTTTGCATAGATAACACAGCCTTTCATTTATTGTACTTTCTTGGGACCTTATTAATATCTGTACTTTGGGCTACAATGCACTGTACTTTGATGTATGTCAATTGTAATTCATGCAACTGAGTTCTGTGACATCAGAAATTACTTTTTAATGTTATAAATTCTTGTTGAATCCCTGAAAACAGCTAAGTGGAATCTTTATCGATGAATTTTCCACAAATATGAGAACTATCACAGCAAATATGGAAAAGATCAAAGAACATGTATTTAGAGGCAGGACAGAAATGGTAAGGGTGAAAAGCTTGGGGCTGGTTACTGTCCTTGTAATTCAGAGGATGGAATATCACTCATGTTTCAAAATATAGTTTTACATAAGAGAAAAGAGTGAAAAAGAAGATAGTAGAAATTTGAGTTTTCTCAAAATCTATCAAGTATAGGATCAAATAGTGGCAAAAAGCAGAAAAAATAAATGACGTGATATACAGAAGAGTTTATTTATTTTGGAAGTTGCTATCTGAATATAGAAAATTGGGAATTTATTTGAGTGAAGGATTAAAAATATTAGAAGCAACAATGCCATGAGAGGAAAAAGCAAGTTGGGTGATTCTTGCTTGATCTGGATTTTAAAGTCAGTCTCTCTCTCTCTTTTCTCTCTCTCTCTCTCTCTCTTTCTCTCTTTCTCTCTCTCTCTCTCTCTCTCTCTCTCTCTCTCTCTCTCTCTCTCTCTCTCTCTCTCTGTCTGTCTCTCTCTCATTGTAGAATGCCAGATTCCCCTGGTGAAGTTTCTGAATATCCTTTGTTTGTCACAGTTGGTGACTGGTTGGATTCCATAAAGATGGGACAATATAAGAATAATTTCATGGCAGCAGGGTTTACAACTTTTGACCTGATTTCAAGAATGAGCATTGAGTAAGTTGTTTACATTTTCTCCCTACTTTCAAATATCTATCAGTCATTTTGGTCCTCATTTACCTTTTGAGTTTTTCACAAAAGAGGAAAAAATATTTTAAATATGTGTGTCCAATTTATTTCACTTAAGAGTATGTTCTCAAGGTGCATCCATTTACCCAGAAATGTCTCAAATTTATTCTCCTTTATGGCAGAGTAGAACTCCATTGTATATGAAAAAACAACTTACTAGGATTATCATTTTATTTCTTTTTTTAAAATTAATTTTATTGGTACACTGTTGACATGCATATGACATCATAGGGAATTTGTACCCATACATAATATATCTTAATCATTTTTTCCCATTCCCCTCCCTACCCTTCAATCCTTTTCCCCTTCTCCATTTATAAAACACTTCCTGCATTCCATTCATTTTTTGTTTTGTTCTAGCCCTAGTCCTCTTCCTTATCTTCTCCCTGCCTTTTTCTTTGTTCTCCTTCCCATGTGAACATTTTCTCCCTACTTCCAAATATCTATCAGTCATTTTGGTCCTCATTTACCTTTTGAGTTTTTCACAAAAGAGGAAAAAATGTTTTAAACATGTGTGTCCAATTTATTTCACTTAAGAGTATGGTCTTAAGGTGCATCCATTTACTCAGAAATGTCTCAAATTTATTCTCCTTTATGGCAGAGTAGAACTCCATTGTATATGAAGAAAGCACGTTTTCTTTATCCATTTATCTGTTGATGAATATTTGGGCTGGTTCCAAGATTTAGATGTTACAAATTGTGCTGCTATAAACACAGGCATGCATATATCACTAAATAACTAGAAGGGGAATAACTCAGTCAAATAGAAGCTCTAGTTTTAGATTTTTGAAGAATCTCCATACTGATTTCCAAAGTGGATGTATCAATCTACACTCCCATCAGCTATGGAGAAGTGTTCCTTTTCCCTGCAGCTCCCCTGGAATTGGTTATTGATTTCTTGATAATAGACATTCTTTCTGAAGTAAGATGGAATCTCAGTGTTTTAATTTGTATCTCTCAAATGACCCAGTGATGTTGAAAATTTTTTCATGTATGTTTGTGGTTTATACTTATTCATCTGAGAAATGTCTATTCATTTCAGATGCCCATTTATGAATTAAGTCATTAAATTTGAGAGAGTGTGGTTTTTCTTTTAGTTCTTTATATATTCTAGTTATTAATCCTGTGAGGAACACTTGGAGAAACTTTTTCCATTCTGTTGGATTGTTTCTCCATTCTGTCGGTGGTTTCTTTTACTGTGCAAAAGATTTTGATATGATGTGTTGTTGATTCATTGGAAGACTTCCTGTGTCATGGGGTTTTGTTCATAAAGTCTTTGCCTACATCACCATCTTCAAGACTTTTACCTATTTTTGTCTTCCAGCAGATTGTTTCTGTGTTAATATTTATATCTTTGATCCATTTCAATTTCAGTTTAGTGTATAGTAAGATACATGAGTCTGGGTTTAATCTTTGGCATGTGGGAAGCCAGTTGGTCTAGCATCATTTGTTAAAGAGGATATCTTTCTTCCGGTGAAGGTGTTTGAGTCCCTTGGTCAAAGATAAGATAACTTAGTGTGTCTGAAGTTGTTTCTGCATCTTCTATTCTGTCTCATGGATACTCAGATCTATGTTTTGATTGTTGTTGTTTTTTGTTTTTGCCATACCATAATGAATGGTTTCATCACAGTAGCTTTGTAGTACAATTTCAAATTAGGGATTTGATCCCCCCTGCTTTGCCTTTGTAGCTGAGAATTGCTTTTCCTATTCTAGGTATTTTCTGGTTCCCTATGAGTTTTAAGATTGTCTTTTATAGTTGTATGATGTATGCTATTGGTATTTTGATTGGAGTTTCATTAAATCTGTAGAACAGTTTTGGAAGTATGGCCATTTTCACTATATTGGTTTTTCCTACCCAAGAACAAGGGATATCTTTCTATTTTCTGATATCCTCTTCAATCTATCTTTCCATTTTCTGATATCTTCATTGATATTCTTTTGCATCATACTGTAGTTTTAAATGTGAAGGTCTTTTACTTCCTTCAGCAGATTGATTCTTAAGTATTTTATTATTCTTAATGTATTGTGAAAGCTGTTGTTTCCCTAATTTTTCTCTTAGTGAGTCTGTTATTTGTGGACAAGAATCCACAGTGATTTTTGATCACTGACTCTATATTCTGCTACTTACTATATTCAATTTATTAACTCTGGGAGTTTTTTGTTGGAGTTTTTGGGGTCTTATATGTAGAGAATCATGTCATCTGCAAATAATGATCATTTAACTTCTTCCTTCCCCTACCCTATTTCTTTTTATTTCTTTCTCTTGTCTATTTTCTCTGGCTAAGTTTTACTAGAACTATATTGAATAGGAATGGTGATAGTGGATATCTTTGTCTTGTTCCTGATTTTATAGCGGAAGCTTTCAATTTTTGATCATGTGGTATGATGCTGGGTGTTTATCATATACAAGTTTTATTAGATTGAGATAAAGGCCTTCTATTCAAATTTTCTGTAGGGTTTTTTTTTATTATGAATGAATACTGAACTTTGTTAAAAGCTTTTTCTGTGTCTATTAAGGTAATTATGTAATTTTTGTCCTAGTTCTATTACATTTTTTGATTTGGATATGTTGAATTATCCATGTTTCCCTGAAATGAATCCCACTTGATCATGGAATATGATCTTGATAATTTGCTGAATTTGTTTGCCAGTACCTTACTAAGGAATTTTGCATCTCTTCTTTAAAGAGACTGGCTTGCAGTTCTCTTTTTTGGTTGGACCCTTCTCTGGATTTAGTATCACGATAATGTGTGTTTCCAGGAATGAGTTTGTTGGTATTGTTTCCTTTTCAATTTCACTAAGGAATTTAAAGCATAATTTTATTAGCTCTTCGCTAAATTTCCTGTAGAATTTGGCAGTGACTTTGTCAGGGCCTGGGCTTTCTTTTGTTAGTAGTTTCTGTATTATTTCATTAACTTCATTGACGGATACTGAGTTATTTAGAATTTTTATATCTTCTTGATTCAGCTTTGGTAATTCATATCAAGGAATTTGTCTATTTCTTCTGAATTTCCCATTTTATTAGAATACAGCCTTTCAAAGTGTATATTAATAGCTTTTTAGAATTTTTTCAGGATCCATTGTGATTTTACCTTGTCGTTGCCAAGTGCATGTGTTTGAGTCTTTTCTTTTTTAATAGGGCTAGCTAAGGGTTTGTTAGTTTTACTTAATCTTTCAAAGATTAAACTTTTTGATTCATTATTTGTAGTTTTTTAGTCTCAGTTGGGTTAATTTCTAGCTCAGTCTTCATAATTTCCTTCCTTGCATGTGTTTTGTATTTAACATGTTCTTCTTATTTTAGAAACTTGAGTTTAAACATTAGGTTATTTGAGCTTGTTGTAATTTACCAATTTGAGAATTCATCTCCATAAAGTTCCCTCATGGGAGTATTTTATTGTGTCCCATAAGTCTGGTATGTTATATTGGCATTACCATTAATTGTAGAAACTTTTGATTTATTTTTTAATAATAGTCTGCCCAGGGAATTACAAATTCAAATGCTATATCAGGAACATGTTTCCTGCCATGCATGATGGTACATGCATGTAGTCTGTACTACTTGTGAGGCTGAGGTAGGAGGATTGCTGGAGTCCAGGAGTTCTTGGCTATAATATGCTATGCCCACATGTAGTATGCTATGTCTACAATGTTTGGCATTAATATGGTGACCTCCTGGGAATGGAGGACCACCAAGTTACCTAAGGAGGGGTGAACTGGGCCAGATTGCAAATGGAGCAGATCAAACTCCCATGCTGATCAAGAACACTTTTCATAAGGCTAGTGCGTCATTTCCACAATTTCTTGGTATTATTATAGAAGAAGTTGGACATTGCATTTTTAAACTTTTATTCTTTGAAAGAAAATAGTTAATTCAAATAGTTTTTTTAAAATATTTTAAATATGGCCCTGGCTCCATACTTCAAGGGTGCACTCCAGCTAGCTGCACAGGTCCAAAAGGAGCCAAGTACCACCCAGCCCTGGTGCCATTCATTGGAGGAACACCCCAGTGAACCTCACAGGATTTGGAAGAGCCAAGATCTGCCCAGCCCAGTGTAGTCCCCAGTCACTATCCATATAGTGTCCCAGGGAAAATTATGGTCCAGAAAAGACTCACCCAAAGATCCTCTACCATCAAGAAGGAGCATCATTTTTCTGTCACCCCAGGAACCTTGGCTCATAGAAAAGTGCCTGGCACACTCCTTTATACTACAGTAAGTCAGTCAGCATGAGAAGCACCTTTGACCCAATCAGCTCATCTGGAAAACTTAGGAAAATGATAAAATAATAGAGCAGAATGCAGTCTCAGACCTTCAGCCCACTGAGAACAAGCCCAGGAGACAATGAAATGGAAGACACTCAAAACTGCACAACTGAAAACTCTGAAATGATAGCAGCTGAAGTGAAAACAACTCTATGAGGCTATAGAGGAAATTAGATCAGGAATAATCTCTCAAGTAAAAAAAATGGCAACATTATGAAAGAAATGTTGAGCATATCTAAAGAAGATATAAATAAAAAAAGAGGAACATAAGAAAATAATGGAAATGTTGAATGAACACTATGGGAAAGAATTAGAGTGCATGAAATATATTCAAACAGGTATTCAGGAAATTAAAAATTCCGTTTAAAGTTGGGAAAATGACTTCAGTGAAGGTGAATATAGATTCTCAGACTTTGAAGACAAGAAGGGAGATAATGATCATGAAAAAAAATCTCTAAAAATAACAAAGAACCAGAAAACAACAGCTGCAAGATGATGTAAAGGAAAACAATATAGACTAATAGGTATAAATGAAAAAGCAGGAATCTATTCAGATGACATAAAAAGACGAGTTGCAGAAGTAATAGTAGAAAATTTTCCCACTATGAGAAAAGAATCTGACATACAGATACATAAATGAGGCATATACAACTCCCATTAGCCATAACCAAAATGAATCTACACCCAGACATATAATAATTAAGATCCCAGAAGGTCAGCACAAAAACAAAATACTAAAAGCTTTCAGAGAAAGGGAACAGATCACCTATCAAGGAAAGCCCATCAAAATCATGGCACATTTCTCAACACAAACCATCAAGTCATGAAGACCTTGGAGTGAGTATTTCCTGAAAGAAAACAACTTCCAGGCCAGGTTAACATACCCAGCAAAACTATCTTTCAAAACTCATGGAGAAATAAGATACTTCCATAACAAAGAAACCTGAAGAAATTCATGACCACCAAATCAACACTACTAAGAGTACTGAAAGACACCTTAGAAAGATAAAAATAATCACAATTCCAAGAACAACAGAAAGAAAAAACCAAGCAGCACAAGCACTGAAACAAAGAGAAAAAGAAGAGAACCAACAACAAGAATGTAATATGACAAACATAAGTCAATACATATCAGTCATAGCCATCAATGTAAATGGTCTCAACTCACCAATAAAAAGAAACAGTGGCAGAGTGCATTAAGAAACAAAATCCAGCAATACACTGTATGCAAAAAACACATTTAACTCAAAAGAAAATTAATAGACTGAAAATCAAAGGATGGAAAACAATATTCCATGTGACAGGAACCCAGAACAAAGCAGGAGGAGCTATTTTACTTGCAAATAATGTGAACTTCAAAACAAGAATGATGAAATAAGGTCACTACACACTTGTTCAGGGGAAACTTCAATAAGAGAAAAAAATAATAAATATATATGCACCAAATATGGGAGCACCCAACTATATCAAACAAATATTAATAAGCATGAAAAATCAAATGAGCAATAATACAATTTTAAGAGAGCACTTCAACCTTCCATTTTGTTAAAAAAAAAAAAGACCAACTAGATACAAAATCAACAAAGAAACAACAAAACTGAACAAAACTTGTGAACAAATGGACTTGGTAGATGTTTATAGGGTGTTCCACCTAACAACACAGAATACATACTCTTCTCAGCTGCACATGGGTCATTCTTTAAAATATACCATATACTTGTCCATTGAACATACTTAAATAAATTCAAAGGAATTGAAATTATCTATCTGTTCGTATTGCAGTGAAATTGGAAATTAATGACCAAGAAACCACAAACTCCATAAACACATGAAAATTAAATAACACTCTCCAAACAACTTTGAAAAAATAAATAAAATTGATAAACTCCTAGCCAATCTTAGCAAAAGGAGGAAAGAAAAAAAAACTCCATGCAAAAAGAAATGAAAAGGGTGAAATCACTGTGAATCCTGTGGAAATTCAGATCATCAATACCTATTTTGAAAATCTGTAGTCTTATAGAAAAAGATACACGAAATGGACAGATTCCTGGAAACATATGAATTACCAAAACAGGATCAATAAAATATAGAAATTCTGAATAACCCAATAGCAGTTAGCAGAATATTTAACACCAGTACTCCTTGGGCTCTTTAATGAAATTGAAAAGAAAGCAATCCTTCTAACTCATTCCTGGAAGATAATATTACTCTGATACCAAAACCAGAGAAAGACCCAACCAAAAAAGAAAACTATAAGCCAATCTCCCCAATGAATGTTCATGCAAAAATCCTCAATAAAATACTCCCAAACAGCATGGAGAAGATCATCAAGAAGACTGTATATCATGACCAAGTGGCATTCAGCCCAGGAATGCAGGGATGGTTCAACATATGTAAATCAGTAAACATAATATACTACATTAGCAGAGCCAAAGATGAAAATCAACAGATGCAGGAAAAGCTTTTGATAAAAATCCAACATTCATTTATGGAAAAAAAAAATCCTAGAGAAAAATCAGAATAGATGGCCTTACCTTAATCTGATAAAAGCCATTATGACAAACCAACAGCCAACATCATACTAAAAGGACAAAAACTGAAAGCTTTCACGCTAAAATCAGGAACAAGACAAGGAGGTACACTACCACCACTCTATTCAATATAGTTCTGGAAACATTAGCCAGAACAGTTTCACAAAAGAGAGAAATAAAAGGAGTAAAGATATGAAAGGAAGAAGTTAAATAATCATTATTTTCAAATGACATGATTCTGTACATAGAAGACACCCAAAACTCCACCAGCAGTCCTCTAGACTTGATAAGCAAATTCAACAATGTACCTCGATACAAAATCAACACTCAAAAGTCAATAGCATTCCTGTACAGAAACAAAAACTCACTGAGAAATTAGGGAAACCATATCCTACACAATAACATCCAAAAAACTGAAGTACTTAGGAATCAGTCTAACAAAGAAAGTAAACGTTTTACACACTGAAAATTACAGTAATCTGAAAAAAGAAATTGAAGAGTATTTCAGAAAATGGAAAGATATTCCTTGCTGATGGATAGGAAGAACCAACATTGTGAAAAAGACCATACTCCCAAAACTTTTATACAGATTTAATGCAGTCCTGAGCAAAATACCTTTATCTTGGAGCTAGGGATTTAGCTCAGGGCTACAAGCGTCTGCCTGGCAAGCATGAGGTCATGAGTTCAATCCCCAGTACCAAAAAAGAAAAAATACCATTATCATACCTCACAGATTTAGAAAAAAACCTTCTGAAAATTCTTCTGTAACCAGAAGAGACCTAGATTAGCAAAGATAATTCTGGGCAACAAAGACAAGGCAGGAGGCATCACATCTCTGATCTGAAATTATACCACAAAGCTTTTTTAATAAAATCAGCATGGTGCTGGCAAATAGACCTGAGAATCAGTGGAACAGAATAGAAGATACACACTCAACTACAGTCAGCCACCTTATCTCTGACAAAGGACCAAAGAAGTTCACTAGCAGAAAGCCTCTTTAATAGTACTAGAAAAATTGACTTTTCACATGCCAGTGACTTAAACTAGACATGTGTATCACCATGCACTAAACTAAAGTCAAAATGAATCAATGATCTAAATATTAAAACAGAAACAGTAAATGTACTGAAAAACAAAGTAGGTAGCAATCTCAAGGATGTAGGAATGGGCAGGGAGTTCATGAACAAAAGCCAACCTGCATGGGAAATACTTCAAAGAATCAACAAATGGGAGTTCTTCTTATTGAAAAGTTTTGCACATGCAAAGAAATTACTGACATGGTGAAAAGAAAACCTACATTTTGGGGAAATGTTTTTGCCAACTGTAACTCTGTCAGTGAACTTCTATATAGAACATACAAAGAATTGAAAATAAATCAGGCTGCCAAATTCAAAGACCCAATCCAAAAATGGGCATCTGAGATGAATACATGCTTCTCAAACGAAGAAATACAAATGTCAAATAAATGCATGAAAAAATGTTCATCATCACTGTTAATTCAAGAAATGCAAATTAACACTAAGATACCATCTCACTCCAGAAAGAATAGCCAACCTCAAGAAATCAATATATAACAAATGCTGGAGGGGCTGTCGGGAAAAAAAGATCCTTTCTACATTTTTGGTGGGAGGGTTGATTGGTAAAACCACTATGAAAATCAGTATGGAGATTCCTCACAAAACTAGGATTAGAGATTTCATTCCACTCAGCTATTCCACTTCGGGATGTTTTCCCAGAAGAGCTGAAAACATTATACCACAGCAATATATGTGCATCATATTTATAGCTTCACAATTTATAAAAGCTAGATCTTAGAAACCGCAGAATGGATAAAAAATGTATTTTTATAGAATGGAGTACTACTCAGCAATAAAGAAGGATAAACTTGAGGCTTTTATAGGTAAATAGATGCAACTTGAGACCATACTCATAAGTGAAATAAATCAGACTCACATGTGTAAACACCATATTATCTACGTAGTGTAAAAAATTGAAAGTAAATAAGATCCAAAAATTAAAAGATATAGTAAAAGGAAAGAAATTGCTCAAAGGGATATCATATTGTTTGATCAATCTTGCATGCTGATGTCTGGTAACGTGATAACAATATGTAATATAACAACCATTGTTAAAATCCTATCATCTTATTTTGAAATCCTGTACCACTATAATTTGTTATCATCATTTTGTTTTTGTTGTCATTTTTTGTTTGCTTGATTGCTATTTAAATTTTTGTGCTTTTTTTTCTCTTTAAAAAGAAAACATTTTGGCTCTTTTCATACAAAAGGAAAAAATTTAAATGCTTTCAAAGTGTATATTACTCTTGTTCCAATTATAGACTTTATATCAACATAGTTTTCTCTTAAAATTATCTATTACTCATATAAACTAATATTTCATCACCAATTCCTATGACCTTCGTCCAATTAATGCAATATTACTATTTCACTTTAGCATTCCTCCTGTGTATCATAATGGTCAACCATTTCCTTTGTTTCAAAGATTTTATTGCCAACAGACATTAGGAATCCTCAACCTATGAGTTAAAAGACTAAGTACTAAAAGAATATTGAGCCATATGAAATTGTCATTATTTTAAAATAATAATGGCAATTTCATATGGTTCAACATAATGACAATTTTTAAAGTCCCTAAAATACTGTGAGAACTCAGTCTACATTAGTTTTTACCTTGCATTCTCATCATTTTGATACCACTGTTACAAATTTATCTAACTACATATCTAAAGTATATATAACCTTTGGGCTTAAAAATGTCTATTGAAAATAGCTGAATACGAAATTTTTCTTGTTTCTTTAAATGTAAAATTAATGTAGTATATTCTGTGGAGCCATAGAGATGAAAAATGTAAAAATTTATCACTGTTCATTGATATCTATGCTTAACAAGCTACAAAAATTTTGGCAGGTATGACACTGTGTATAATTAATATTTATAAGCCTTCCTTTTCTCTCTCCTATTTACCAAATCTAACTGTTCTCTCCCCTCCCTCTCTCCCAGTGACGTTAGGAGAATTGGAGTCATACTCATTGGACACCAGAGACGAATAGTCAGCAGCATACAGACTTTACGTTTACATATGATGCACATACAGGAGAAAGGATTTCACGTATGAAAGTACTATAAACACCTGTGTTTTGTGCCTCAGCATTTCTAAAATGAAAGATATCCTCTCTACTGCCCTCTCCTCTGACTCTCCAAACATCGCTTCACAAAGCAGTCTCTTGTTCAGACTATGGCCGCACACCTTATGTTTATGCTTCCAACTTGGATTTTAAAACCATGCTACTACACAGGTCCTCTCTGAATAACCTGCAAATAAAACCCTGGCCCACTGCAGATTGTTGCTACACATGATAATAACTCAGCATGGATGTGTAACTTTGTACAGAAGTATTCAGGAGGTGTTCATGGACCTAAGGAATTTGTCCAAGTGTGGCATCCTTAATGATGTATGTAAAGTTTGATGGTAAATGAGATAGAATTAGTTGGATTTTCATGTTGTGTGATCAAGTAGCTGCCAAACTGACATGAATATTTATTTTTTAGATAGTTTTACTCAAGTCTATCTGTTGTATGGTTGCTTTAATACTTTGTCTATCGGTACCTGGTGTTAGAATGATTTACAGAAATGCAGGATTTTGTGTAATTATTCTTGTCAGGTATGACTCTGGTGAGAGGAGGGTTAATGGTGAGGGTGAGAGAGAAAAAATACTGTGATTTTAAATTTTCTAAGACTGGCTTTGTCTATGTTAAAATTAACCTTACATACATTACAGAGTAGATGTTACTTTACAGGCTTTTCCTCTCTGTTTCTTGTTTTGTTTTGTTTTACTATTTTGTTTCTCTACCATGTTATGAAACCACTCTTGGAATGACAAAGTATGTGACTGTTAATCCAAAGGCTTTCATAGAATGAAGCATGGAATAAACCTATTACTGTTCCCTTCATCCACTTTCATAAGCTTACAAAAGTAACTATCAAAACACTGAGAAAATTAGTTGATATTGTAGATTTGCTTTGAATAAAACATCTTTTAGCCTTAGATTTAAGGTGAAATTATTAATTAATTTAAACAGAATTTTATGATACCTATATGGTAACCCAAGAAAATAAACACTTTTGTCTAACTTATACCAGTATATTTTGAAAGTTTAAGAATTCTTATGTTTGGATTGCAAAAATAAGTTGCAGAAACATGCTGAGCTCTTTTACAAAGCGCCTAAGAAATAAGTATGAATACTTCAAACAGGATATAAACAGAGCTTTCAGTTCAGCATGTGTGTGCACGTGTGTGTGTTGGTGTATGTGTGCTTATGTTAACCAGCTCCATATTACAGTGTTGTAAAAAAGTGAACACAGCTAAGGTATGTTTTTGTCCTAATCTTTTCAGAGGCTTGTAACAAAAAGGGAACTATATTTCTCAGTGAATTAAGCACAGTCAGCTTGTCAAAATAGTGCTGTCTTACGAACAAAATCATTTATAAAATCAGCTGCTTCTTGTGAAAGTACAAAAAACACCAACTGCCATGCTAGGTGGGAAAATAAGGAAAATGTGTTAAGGGAGGCAAAAATGCAGCGCAAGACGTCTGCAGATGTTAAACATTTCTTTTTTATTTACTCTCAGAGACAAAGGTACCGTATCCACAATCTTAATTCGTATCTAAATTACACGTTTTGTTGAAAATAGTTTTCTTTCTGTTTTTCCCTTAAGATTTTGTTGACAGCATTTTACTAGACCCTTCCATGTATTTTATCATGCAAATTTATCTCCTTTTTTCTAGCACCACTTAATTTTTCTTGTTTCAAAAAAGATGAATAGAGCTAGAAAGAAGGTTTTAGAGTATTCCTTCAGTATACTATAAAAGAAAAAAGGGAGACATCATTCACTTTTTAAGTAAGTGTGTCAGAAACTGCTAGCAACTTTTTTTTGTAGCCATCAGCTTGCATGGTCACACACCACTCGTAGACTATATGCAGTTTGCTTGATATATTTACCCAAATCTGGATACATTTAAAGTAAATATAAAATTTTCATATTTATCTGTCTTTAAATATATACTAAATTAAAACATGTAAGAGATTAAATTTATTAATTATATATTTATTTTTATAAAACAACAAAAAGTTATTTAGAAAATAAGAGAATAATATCGTCTTCCATAGGACTCTTGTCGGCAACATCTGTATACCTTGATGAAATAACTTGTATTAAAGTATTTAAACTTCTATGGGGTGGACATTCAGTGATTATAATATTCAAGAGCACTTTTAAGAATATTTTTCCTGAGTAGATGTGCTGCTGATGCTTGTTAATCATAGCTATTCTATCGACTGAAGCAGGAAGATCAGAAGTTCAACGCCAGTCTGAGCAACTCTGTCTCAAAATTTAAAAATAAAGGTATGTAGCTCAGTGTTCCCTGAGTTGAATCCCCAGTAACACACACACACACACACACACACACACACACACAGGTTTTCTGTTTTCTTAAAAACTTCAGTACTTTCCAACTTCTAGTGAAGTTGTAATTTTTTTTTTTTTTTTTTTTTTGGATATCACAAAACTCTCTTTCCTCTCTGCCTCTCCCCCTCCTCAGAATTTCTTTTAAATTTCATTTATGATTTATAAAACTTAAACATGATTATAAATGTAATTTCGAATTTCACCCTGGTCAAAGTACAGTTAAAACGTGTACAAAATTTAAGAGAAACAATATGAGAATATTTCTTTATGCCTACCAATTAAAGGACCCCATGATCCTATTGGTATTAAAATGTATAGAAACATTAAATAAAATGCCAAATTAATTTGTAAATTTTACATGAAACATTTTAAGATTTACTGATATATATAATTAGTAATTAAATATTTTAATATGCATAAGTATAAAATTTTAAATACTCAAAAAATTAGTAACACCTATAAATCACAAGTCATCACAATTAATCTTAGATAACTAAAATATGCATATATATTTATATATCAGCTTTTTAAGTATCTTTATAGGATCTTATAGAAATAATATTGAATGAATTGTTACATTTCATCCAAGTACATTTTCAAAAGGTATTTTTATCTAATAAATTTCTGTTCTAAAAAGTAGTCAGGTAAATTTCCTTATCTCAAGATGTTAATCTGTGTCTTTTACTATTCCTTTATTAAATTTTCTGGAGCTTTCTTTTTCAGCCTCTCTGTTCTTTTTAATTCACCAGCTTATCATTTGTCCCTTTTTCAGTTTTTATTACTATGCCCTGTCAACATAAGAAAGCACAGCAAATCTAAAAAGAGCTCCTTGATCATCTTATAAGAAGCTAAAGGACAGAGATGGTCACAAATAGTATACTTTTAATATGATGGATTTATACATGAGACCACTTGTATTCACAGAGGGTGTGGATTCTGGCTTTGCCTTAACTGAAAATTACGTATTTTGTAAAATAATTTAACATTGATGATGATGATTATTTTCTAAAGCTTTAGCTAAGCAAGTTTAACATTAATTTTAAATCAGTGTTCTAAGAAACAATAGTTGTTATTCCATCTCACAGTGTCTGCCTTTATATAAAAAAGAGAATTGTGGTAAATATATCACATCTTCTACTGTTATTACCTTAACATTCCAGGGTCACTTCACAAAATAGAAGAAACTCATATTAATGTTTACTCAAAAAGTATTTTTTTGCTTTTTAAATGAAGATTGTAGAGCACATAGCTCAGTGGCACAGCACCTCCCTGACAAGTGCAAGGTCCTGAGTTCCATTCCAGGCACCAATAAATAACTAAATAAATGAAGACTCTAAAAGGTGGAGAACAGTGGGTAAACTGGTGATATTGTTTCATCAAAATAGCATGTACTGAAGTTAATTAACTTCTCATTTTTATGATCAACATTTCCAAAATTTGTTTCAAAATCTATAGTGTTCAATTTAAATTGTTACCTCATGTTTAAAAAAACAACAAAAACCTAGATGAAGAGAGAATGAAAATTAGTCTCACTAGTAATATTGAAACTGTGTTTTAAGAGTGGGGATTTCATAAATAAATCCACTTATAATTGCTAAAATATACACCACTATATAAAATTAGAAGAAACCTCATGAAAATTGTTGGTAAAAATATTTATTTTAAATATTCAAGCAATCATAAGTCTTAATATTACTGTACTTCTAATCCTTCTCACTTTGAAAATATACATGACAAATTTTTGCTAAAATATACATCACATATTGAACTGCCAAAATACTTCACATACATATTTATGAATTACCATATTGTTGAGCTTTTGTCTTCTATTATTCAATTAAAACCATTATGTATAAAATGTAGAAAAGCATACTGACTTGAAAGGATTCTTTTAGCATCAATATATGCTTTTAAATAGTTATATAAATTTTACACATAATAAATATTTTAAAAATATGGTACTTATGTACTACTTTTATGTGATAGCTTTTGATGTCTTAGTGGTTAAATTCTTTCAAAGAAATTGCCTTCCCTTTCCAGTTTTTTAAATATTTGAAAAAGGGCCGCTTCATATTTTATATTTCTATGCAGTCTCATAATGCTTGTAACTTGCCAGTTCTCAAAGAATAAATGCCATAACATAGTGGCTAGAAGGTATTCTTTTTCAAGTCATTCTTCCCTTTTAACTAACACTAGTCTGACACTCCATAAAGTCTATTAGGGAAAGGTAAATTCTTTTACTTTCGTATGAATGGAAACATTAAAAAAATCCTCCCGTGCACTCTGCAAATTCAAAATAGTAAGTTAATTTACTGCTTTCCATTTATTCAGTGCTTATAATTTTACTAAATGGGATGCTTCAAACAAGAGTAGGAAACCATTCCATTTTTATGTAAATTGCTTATTTTCTACAGTCTCTAAAATTCCTTGGAGAAATCAAAACATTTGCTTTCCCTTCTTTACAACCATGACCACTTTGCATTAAAGGCAAAAGTTGAACACAATCTAATATAAACTACAAAAATTATCTGACCAAGCCTCATTATCAACCTCTTTATACTGTGTAACAAATACAATAACCACAAAAGACATGTCTATTTACTGGGCTAAAATTATAACCCCTAAATTTTAAAATAAATATATTTACTGATATGTTAACTTAGTTTTAAAAAGTATTTTTCTGTAAATCTCTTCACACAACTAATGTTTATTAAACACTACCACATACACACTAGTGTCCTCTTTGAAACACTAAGGATACGTGGTGATCAAGGCAAGCAATGTTGCTGCTTCACAGAACTGACTCTCTAGTAATAAAAACACTCAAAGAAATAGTAATGTGTTGCACTGATTAAATTAATGTTACATAGCATGACTGCAACTCTTTCATATTGGGAGTGAAGGGAAGTCTCTGAAGACACAGTATTTAACCTGATACCTTAAAAACATGAAGAAAATGGCCATGGGAAAATCTACAGTGAGAATCTTCTGGACAGAAATAGTAGTTAACGTATAGTTAGTTTGAAGTGTTTGAGAGCAGACAGAAGAGTGGTATATATTCATGAGGCAATGGAGGAGGCAAAAAGGAATGGGGTAGGATTATATGATGCTTCTGGAATAGTTAACAGGATTAAGTGCTTTTAAGAATTTAACATTAGAGCAAAAAAAAAAAAAATGACCAATCTTGTAAGAGCAGTCTCTTTCAAAGCCTTAAAGTAGACAATGTCTATGAAACAGTGAAATCAAATCATGACTGAAGTGGACTAACAAGAAATGTGAGAAAGGAAAGCAAAGTCAGGATATATAAACAAGTATTTCAAGCTGTTCTGTTGAAAAAGGAGCAAGATAAATAGGACAGGAGCTGAAGATGTGGAGTCGAGAGAATTTTAAGGAGTTTTACTGTTAATTTCTTCATTTAGAATAAAAAATGCAAAAGATATTTATATATTAACGAAATGATCTAGCAAAGGAAAAATGATTATACATAAGAGAAATAATTAGAGCAAAGGTCTAGAGAAGTAGAAGGGTTAAGCATTAGAGCCTATGGAGGGAGGGCAGTTTTTGATGAGAGCCTGACTCCAGAGAGAGGAGACAGAGTGTATAATACGCAGATATATTCATTGTTAAAAAAAAAAAGATGTTGTTATGAGAGTAGTTTAATTTCATCAAGCAAAGTCAATAAAGGAGTGGAAAGGAAGTATGTGTTAGAAGAAAGATACATAAGCAGTTGGAATATATACACATATATGTGTATATATATACATACATATAATATATAATGGATACTCGTGTGATACAATAGGAAAAAAACTTTATTTCAAAGGCAACTTTTTATTAAATATTTTTGAGGCCTCTTACTTGAAGATCTGAAATTTTGTTGTCCAAGGACTTTGACAAAAGTCCTCTTTTCCATAAGATAGAAACTAAATAAGGTCCTCTCAATGTCAGATTTTTCTTATATTTTATCATTTATTTATCTTCATTAGAATGACAGAAACATTTTGTAGCTATTCTAATTCAAACCCTATAAATAATAAATTAGTTTAATCCTGAGATATGTATATTCAACCTGTCTCAAATATTATTTCAGAGAGTAATGAGCTCCCATCTGAATGTTTTAAAAAGACAAACATGCACTAATCTTTTAATAAAACTTTGGGGTTTTTTGTACGAAAAATGTCAAAACTTTCTGTCGTTTATCATTTAGGAGAAACACATGGGCAAGATGACTGTTTTGTTCATAGTGCCCTTCTCTACACTAATAGGAAGAATGTGATCCTATAATAGTGCTTGCTGAGTTATTTCTGGATATACCGTATGTAATTCACTATGCAGGAACTTAAATATACATATTTATTCTTTGGACTTGATGTGAAATTATATTGTGAATTATGGAATAAGTTTGTTCTTCATTATTTTGCACTTCTATCATAGCCAAAAACATAAAGATATATGTGTGTATATATATATATATATATATATATATATGTGTGTGTGTGTGTGTGTACTTAATGAAACACTTTATATATTTAAATGGTCATATCAAATTTTAAATGGCCATTTGAAATTTTAGATAATTTCAACAGTTGCAGTGTACACAAAATAAGGTATAAAAAGTTTAATTTAATACTAAATTGCATATTTCTATAAAATGTCTGGGTAAGATTTGTCTAGGTTGAGAAATTTAATCCCTCAGAGCTATATTTAATTAATAAAAACCGCAGCTGAAAATGTTTTTCCTTTCTACACTTTTTTAAACTATGTCTTTATAACTTGACATGAACCCATTTATCATTAGTTAAGGATCTGGCAGTATATTCATCTACTCTTACAAAAGAGAAGGGGGGAATATCTGTGAGAAGAAAGAAGTGCAGCCCTACACTTTTTTTTCAGTGATATCACCATTTAGAGCTTCAATATACACTTTCCACTTAGATTCCTTACATAGCCTGTGTTATTTTTCCTGGTTATCACAATATGGTACAGAGATTAACACAAAAAGGATGTTCATTGAACTGTAATCCTACTTATTACCTACTTTACTGTTAGCAGTGAAGTAGTCCAGATTTATTTAAAAGTAGTACCATTTTATCTTATAAAATATCTACTATAATATGTAAATTTCCATGTAAATTTTCACGTGCTGGCATGCTTACAACTTAATAATGTTACAGAATGCTCAGCTCTCAGTATGAGAGATTGTGGTGAATTGCATTACATATGTCATCTAATTGCTGAAAGAATATGGTGTTTAGCAAAACTACCTGCTGAGCAACATAATAAGATTTTTGTACAAAGTACAAATTACTAATTATTGTATTTTATTTTTCTATTATTTCCTAAGAGGCATTATCAGGGTCTTACAGATGTAGTAAGCCTGTTTATTAAAATATCTATTAGTAAATAAAAGTTACAGTTCTGGTGGTTGAATCTGACTCTTGTATTAATGTATATTTTATGTAGTTTATTTTTAGTCTATGAAATATAAATCCTTGTTAGAACTTTAGTAATTCCAGATTTAAATCATAGTTGTAATTTTAAAATAACTAATGAAATTAAGAGCTAGACATGAGTTCATATAAATCACTATAAGTAAGTGGTAAAGATTTTTATAGTGATTTTATACTAGCAAAACATTTTGCAAGATTCAAATGAATTAAATAGTTCAGAGTAGAGGCAATAGTGTACACAAATAACAGATGATAAAAGACATGATGCCCAGTATTCGACCCTTCAACACAAGCATCAGTGCTCACTTAAAATTTCAATAAATTATAAATCGGAAATTTTTTATATTCTTTTAAAAGTTGCTGATAACAAAATACATTAAGAGATCTTGAAATAATCAGAGTGGTACAGCATTCAACTTATCTCGCTTTTCCTGTTATGGATCCAAAACCAGAATGAAATTGAAACTAGTGAAAAGTACTTCAAATTCTCTTGCATACATATCTTAAGTAGCTTTAAGAAAAATCACATACCATTTTGAAAACATTATTCTCATAATAAAATGGAATCAAACTAAATTCTTACATCAAGGGCTGGGGTTATGGGAGTATAGCTCAGTTGTGTGGTGCCTACCAGATAAGCGTGAAGCCCTAAATTCAAATTTCCATTTAAAATATTTCCATCAAGTGGAATTACTTTTTGCTAATCTCTGTCTATTCTTGAGAGCACTTTCAATTGACAAAGCACCAAAACAGTGGATTCAAACCATTGAAACATTTTTTTATGGTGGATGTTTTTAAGACTGATATTTGCTGAATTATTGAGTAGACTATGAGTTTCATAACAACTATTTCATCTCTAATAATAATCAGCCATGACATCAACTACCCTTACATAAAGTAACTACTTGCTTTTCTGTTGTTGTCGTCAAAGAATTAACAGTATGCCTAAATTGGATGCCAGATTCACCTACACCTCCCACAGTTTTTGTTTGTTTGTTTTTGTTTTGTTTTGATATGGGGATCTATCTTGGGACCTCATGCTTGCCAGGCAGGCACTTGTGCCGCTGAGTTAAATCCCCAGCTCCTACCTCCTGCTTTCAACAAATGTTTTGTACTAGATTAAAGTAAATGAACTCAACCTAAAGGAAAAAATATAGGAAACAGGAAAAATTAAGTCGGTCCTAGAAAGTTTTCTGGAATGTTAGATCTCCGCCTGTCTCTCATCACCTGTGTGCTAATGATGTACACTTGTTATCTCTTTAATCCTAAAAGGCACTAGATGAAATAGTATTTTTCTGAAGGTGAGGAAGCTAAAGTACAGCTAGGGCTTAACCGACCACACAGTAGAGTGTATTTTCATCCCCCACGTAAAAGACGATGTTTAAATGTCAATAATTTGGATATGCAACAACAGGTGGCGCCCGTTTTGATTTTGCCTTGAAACAGAGTTACAGCCCAGAAACACACTTTTTTTTTTCATTGCAACAATAATTACGCTTGGAAATTTGGAAATACAACAAAAGAAAACACCTCAGAATCATACACGTACCTCATACCTTCCCATCATCATTTTGACAGAATTCTCTCCACTTCCTTTTTTTGGCCTCTTAGCCTATTTAATAAACCCAATTTATTAATGGGCCGAAGAACAGGTAAGGAAATAAACATTTTTGTTTCCAGGTGGAAAGAAAAAATAAAATTCCATACTCACAGGTAACAAAAGAAATGAAATGTCTTTAAGGAATGTTTAAAATCATAAAAGCAGTTCTTTGAGATATAAGGCTGTGTGTCTGGACGAATAATAAGGTTCGCAAATAATGCTAGATCATTAAAATGACTGCATTTAGTCTGTTCATTAGAACAGTAAAATATATGGGGCAAATTGTACGACTACAGATTTTCAAATTGAGGCTCATTTGTAATTACTACTGTAAAACCCGAGTGCAACTTAAGAACATGGCTAACTTTATTACTAATGCTTACCCTGACCATCAGTCGATTTGATACTGGGGACAGTAATCAATCACAAGTGATTATACCAGGCAGAAATCTCGGGGTGAGACCAAACATTAAGAACAAGGAGTTTAGGTACACTTCTTTTGCCAAAGAGTATGTATTTCCCTTGTTTAAAATAATAATAATAATTCATTGACAGAAATTGCACAACTTTCTAGACCAGTTTCTCGCCCCTCTCCACCTGTTCACATCTTTTCGTCGCCAGGACGCAGGCAGTCTCCCAGCGAACCCCGGTAGGGTGGCGTAATGCGCAGCGGGGCAGCTGCCACACACGTATTGCCCCAGTGAGCACCGACGTTTTCTGCAGTCGCTGTCACCACGTTGAGCCCGCGCTCCGCACCTACACTAGGACTCCGCACTCTTAGCTCAACATACGGGCAGTGCTCTAGGAGAGGCCTAGCAACCTAGGAAAACCGTGGTGAGAGACCTTCTGGCGGCGAAGGCAGGCGCAGACGCTACCCAGCAGGCTGTGCGAGCCCCTACAACTCCCATCATGCTCCGCGGGTGACTGCGGAAATCCTAGCAGAATAATCGGTAACTCGTCACCTCTGCTCATATTCATCTTAACAGAGTTCCTTGGAGTGTCCATGGGTTTTGTTTCCAGAGCCTTTCAACCCCAGAAGCAAAAGCGCAATAGCCGAATAGCTAAAATTCCCGAAGAAGCGTGGCTTCTGGACCGGAAGACGTTCGTGTTGCCAAGGAAACCCCGCGCGCTAAGGCGCCTGCTCCGCAACTGATGCTCAAGAGGAGACTGAAGCCGCCAGTTCCCCTAGCTTGTGGAGGCGACTCTGCGCTGGACAAGGAATCTTTCCTATGGAGGCGTAGAGAAAAAGGCTGAAGCACCAGATTTCCATCCCACAGGCGGGTAAGAATGAGTGACTCCGTTCCGATTCCTCATAAACTTCGGGGCCCTGTACTAGCCTAGCCTCATAGTTCAGGTATGACTCTTTCCTCCAGTTTTATAGAAGTGGCCTTCTCCTCGTCAGTTTTAGAATTCCTTTTTATCTTTCCTACGTTTTGAACTCCACGCGACTAGTTGTTTCTAATGTGAGAAAAGTGGAAAAAGAAAAGTGAACTTACGTGGTGAGTACCAGGGACTCTTAACAGATGTATCGAACTGTTGTGGTTGGTTGGTTGGTTGATTTTAACAGTGCCCAATTTGGGCCTTTTTATGTGAAGTATGAAAAAGTGTATAATTCAGATTTCATTATGGGAAACTGAATAATGTTCACGTAGAGTAGAAAGAGTGTACACCCCTTCACTAGAAAAGCACGTTTAAAGTTTACAAAGTATCTTTCATGGGTGTTCTTTCTGTTCCCATCTCTGTGTGCAGTTTAGCTTTCTGGCTTGCAGCTCTAGATAGTACTCTAATTCTTCCGAGCTTTTCTGGCAACGTGTAGGAAGCTGATTATCAGAGCAGACTAGAAAATTTGGCTGGAGCGTAAATGAGCAACTAAAAAGATAGGTTGGGTTGAGAGTTCGAACAACTTAAAGCTATGCCTTAGAGCTCCTTGAGGAGCACAGTCAACTCGGAGAGTCCACACAACTAGTGGCAGGTTTAGTACTCAAACCAGTGTAATCTTGATTCAAGTACAGGAGTTGTGGATTATAGAAAATTTACCTCAGGTAAGTAGTAAAAATTCTGTCAATATTATGCAGTACAGAAAGGAAGATTTTAAGCTGCAGGTGTATTTTGTTCGTGGGGCATTTAATAATGATGCTCTACTTACTAACATATGTGTCTAGTTTTAGTATGGACTTTATACCTTTTTTTCCAAAATCTAGATTATAATTTTCTTACGAAAATTTGAACTTACTATGCTTTTGAAGTAAAACAACTTGGAGCATCAAAATTTACTAAGTACTCTTTGTAACATATGCTGCCTTTATTAACTGTTAACCAATTCTAAATCTTACTAACACCCTCATTGTTATTGCAAATATCGAATTACCCATTGTTCTCATTCCTTATTGATTTGCTAGTTTCTCTCAACCTCAGTGGTGTTTTGTGTATTTTAATGCGAATTATCTGGACTGATCTCAGAGCATTGATAATTAACCTTTGGAAAAACATTTTTGTCCAAGGTCTTGCTTACTCTAAATTTAAAATGAAATAAATGGAAAGGAAAGAAAGAAAAAACATCAGACAAGGTCTCTCCTTGTATTTCTAGAAATACAGATTTTTTTCATGGCATATTTTCTGATAGTTTTAAAAAATAATTTATTGATAAATAGCAATTGTACAGGTTCTCAGCTACTTTATTTTTTTAAAACTAAGTAAAATCTTTAAAAGTGTCCAGAGTATTTAAGAAATCATTCATATTTTGAAAAACACACTTAAGAGAGGGCATTGCATTTTCAAATGATAAAATACATTGTAATGTACATGAATTAAAACTCTAGTACTGGTCTGGGTGTAAAGAGATCAATAAAAGAGTAGATCTGGTTTCTCAAATTATGTGCAGTTAAGAAACTCTCCAGGAGGATTTTCATAGGTAAATACTTAGCCAAAAATACTACATCTCCTATAGACTTACAAGGCAATTTAGCATATTAAAGAGTTTGAGGAGTATTGCTCTATTGAAACCTATTCAGTAGAATCCCAAATTTCCCAAACGTCCATGATTTTGAAATCTTTTGTAACATCATCTTCCAAAGAATAGTATCAGGAACATCCTGGGATAATTTACAAATAGACCTAAACATGTATAGGAATATAGAATGTTAGAAGTAAAGTTGAAAAAAAATTAAGTAAGGAGAGTAGCAGAAAGAAAAGTGATACCAGAATAAAAAAACTTAATGTATAAGTTTCAGGCATATAAAATTCAAGCTGCTCTTAAAACTGAAACTTTCAAAAGGCAGAAAACAAAATATTGGCTAATATGTTTAAAATACTGAGGAGTAAAAAACAATATTTTTTTTGAGGCTAACACTACAGAAAGAAACTTAAATAAATTTTGTAAATATTAAATAAAAATTAAAATTTCTATATAGCACAAAATATAAGTAAGTATAATTTTACTTGATCAAAATTATGACATGGAAAGATCTCTCAGGTGTCAGTAGTAAAAGAAAACCAGTCAGTGGAATACGGTAAATAATTATAAATGAAGAAGTGTTAATAGAATTAAAATCTGAAAAGTTCAACTTTATAGTAATGAAATGAATATAGGTTTAAGTAACACTGCAATGCTATATTTTGTTTTTCAGTTAGCAAACTCTGAAAACAAATTAACCGTACCCAGTCTTGGTAAGAAAACAACAAATTGAAAGTTGTACCCACTGTTGGTAAGTGTTCATAAAGTTTCTGAAAGACAGTGCTATAGTATCTGTCAAAATTTTAAGTAGTGTTACCTTTTGACCCAATAATTCTACCACAAGAAATATATTTCTAAGAAAATATACAAAGATGTTCACAGTTAACAATTGGGCATATTTGTTAAAGGATCAGTTTTCAGAATGTGATGCATGGAATTTTTCTGTTTGAGTTTGTATATTACAAATATTTATTAAATATATACTCTGTGAGTTGCTGGAAATGTAGATATAACAAAGATACTGTTAGGGCTCAGTGTGGCATTTTGGCCTGTTAAGTACTGGTTGAAGTACTGTAAAGCAAACTCTCTGAGTGTCTATCCTTTTATCTCCTGGCTGTTTTTCTCACCTGAAGGTAGTTACAGAAGCCAGAATTCCTCTTTTCCAAACAGATAGGTCATAGAAATGAAAACCCTTTCTCCAAAAGGAAATGTAAACCCTAGAAAGATCACTCTGTCTTCTCCCTCCTCCCTTGAAGATTCTCATTCAGAGAGGTCCTGCTCCATAGGTGAGAAAAAGGAATGCTACACAGTGATAAAAAAGAATCTGAACAGCCAGGTATGGTGGTGCACCGCTGTAATCTCAGCACTTGGGAGACTGAGGCCTGAGGATCACAAGTTGAAGGGCAACCTGAGCTACACAGCAAGATCCTGTTTAAAAAGAAGAAAAACTGAAGAGACAGGCTTTTTGGGTTTCCATCTCAATCATACCATAAGATCATACCCTTTTGTCCAGTCACGTGCCTACAGTTTGTCCATTTTTCATCAGTTCTATTCATTAAAATACAGAAATTTCAGAATGTTTGGGTTTTTATGTCTGAAAGCTCCTGTGTCATTAAAATCTAAATTCATTACGCTTTTGTCGTTGAAAAAATGTATGAATATTATTCTGTAAGCTAGTAGTTCTTAATGGTGACTGCAAATCAGAATCAGTGTGTAAGTTCTAAAACTGAATACCCTAAACTGTGAATATTCTACAAATATTCTGGTCTTGTCCTCAGAAATTCTGATTCAACAGCTGATTTCAGAATGCAGCTAAGTTTAGAAATCATAACTATGGGAGTAGAAAGCTACAGAAGATTTCTATGTCCCATTCTGATATTTGAACATGACAAATAAATGTAAATGGCTTGAATTATGTATTTACTTATGCATGCAAGAACTTAAGAAGAAAAACTATAATTACTAAAAATTGATATGTATAAAAGGGTATATTGTAATTCCTGTAAAGCAGCTTCTATAAATATGGTAACATCCTTTAGAAAAACTTTTAAAATGTATATCCCAAAATATTTCAACAATGTATTTAACAATCCATGGAAAGTCAAAATAAAAGATACTGTGAAAAATGAGTATTCAAGTACCAACCTTATAACAATCAGTGCTTTATAGTAGATGCCCAGAAGAGGAAGATCTGAGACATAAAGTTCTTAAAATATATTTAAAATTGGAAAATGAAAATGTACATTTTTGTTAAGTAATACAAATTTACTTTGAATTAAAATGATCTATCTGAATTATTTCGTATTAGAAGGTTAATTTAAAATAGAGTGCAAAAGCAGTCCTTAAATGACATTCAAAGAAATGTTTTGAATGGCATTTGAATTTTTATTTTGAAGAAAAATGTTGATTCATTTGGCACAAATCCAAGCACATGAAGTCAAGCCCATCCCCTGGATAAGAGCAAGGTGGCCTATTATATAGTCTCCACCCTTTAGGACACAGCACCTTTTCTTTTCTGCTTCTCACTGAAATTCAGTTTTGAAACTCATATCCACAATGATATCCCAAGAAGCTGTGGTAAATGGTTAGGTGTGCAGCCTCCTTTGAAATGTTGTTTTCTTGAAAACTTCCTATAGGTCAAGTTGCTTTAGTCTTATATCCTTCAAGGGGTAACCTTGTCTGGGATGGTATAAAATAAAAAATGCTAAAGAGTTGCGAGATGATAAATTTATGAAACATTGAATGAAGATGGTAATACATCAATCAAATGAGATTAATATTTAGAGAACTTTGAAAATAAAGGTTTAGGAAGTAATGGGAAATATTTGGTACAGTTTATTTTAGCAGTGCCTATACTACTTGATGACTGCAAAAGGAATGTTTTCCTATCATGTCATACTATGTAAGAGAGAGTGAGGTGATGGAACAAGCGAGCTGCTTTAAAAAATTTGATCTGGAGACCTGAAATTTAAGTTTAATAGCACCATAGACAGATATGAACAGCTTTAAAAGTATAACAGCATTTTTAATTGAAGTATTTTAATTCAGAATACTTGTGACAAACACAGATTTTCCCTAGAAATACATACCACTGAGCAAATAGTTGGAACAGGTTAACAAAGTGACTTGTACAGTCACTTTGAGAAAACTAAATTGTAAGCTAAAATTGGTATTCACTCTGATTCCATACTCGTGTCTAGTTTTTTTTTAAGTAGCAGTAAGATATTTCAGATAAGTTACAATTAAGAAAATATCTAATAAAGTAATAAAATTGTTCACTTGTGAATCCATTATTCTCAGATGGATTTATAGTGATTTACCAAGATATATATATAAGAGATAAGGCCAAAACATCAGAATTCTTTACTTCTCCTTTTTTTTTTTTTTTTTTTTTTTTTTTTTTTTTTGGGTCCCTTTTTGAGACAGGATCTCACTATGCAGGCAGGCTGGCTTTGAACTCACTTTATAGCTTGGGCTGGTCCTGAATTTGCAATGATCCTCCTGCCTCAGCCTCCCAAGTGCTAGGATTATAGGCCTGCATCACCATACCTGGCTCCTCTTTACTTCTACTAGTAGAAAACCCTACCCAAACTGGAAATAACCAAGCAAGAAAAAAACAAAACCTGCTTTATATTTTATAATTTCATATGATAGAAAAATATGACAAATGGTCTGACTTCAGATCATCTAGGTAACTAAAATCTCAGATTTTCTTTCCTTCTTGTCTGCCTCCTACTTTCTGATCTTTAGTATCAGATTGTGCATGAACTCCATTGCCTGTATATTGTTCCAAACTTTACAGAAAGGTTGCTGCTTAATTCATAGATATTTGAAGTTCAGTTGACCAACTCCACATGATACTGAGGCTAACCACATTTTTTCTTAAATATTATAAATAAAGTGAGAAATGGGGTTATTGCAAGGGCATTGTTCTATGTTGCCAGGGGTTATAAGCTGGCAATCTGCATTTAAGTTAAGGCTTTCTGGTAATCAGCTTATGTTTTATACTAAGTACAAAGATACACTGACATGGTTTTTAAGAGTATCATCGTCTGTCTTTAAGTTATTAAATTTTTATGTGCATACCAATATTTTTCATATTTAAGATACCTTGGGTTAATACTACTTTATTTTTTCCTGCAGCTACTTTCTAAATATTTGAATCATATTATGGGATTGCTAGACAGACTTTCAGGCTTTCTTGGCCTGAGGAAGAAGGAGGTTCATGTTTTGTGCCTTGGACTAGATAACAGTGGCAAAACAACAATCATTAACAAACTGAAACCTTCCAATGTAAGTATCTTTGTTAGATGCTTCATGTATTTTCTACTAGAGAAACTTCAGACTTACTTTGCTTGATAATTATGTTATGAAATGTTGTCCTTTTGGCAATATTTTAAAATCATTAGCAAGCCATAATATGAAATATATCTGATATATAAATAAATTTCAGTTATTAAGCTAGTTTTTCTATTTTATTTTTTCCTAGTGCTCTTTACAAATTGTCCAAGTATACTTTAGGTTGCATGCCTTTTTTTTAGTTTTCTCTTGGAGGAGCACTACAAAAGGAAAGGTGAATCGATTTTATAAGTTCTGTGAATGGACAGTCTAACCGTTCAGTATTAGTAGGCAGGATAATTTTAAGCAGTAAGATAATATGAAGATAAAATTGTAGACTGAAATGTATGTAAGACTAGAACATCTTAACACATAATGTGCAAATTAGAGGTGGGTTCTGGTTTGTATAAGAAAGCTCAAATGACAGCACTTTCCTAATTTCTGATATTACTTTGTGGCCCTTAACCTTGTTACAACTATCCTGTCTCAGAATAATTGACTTCTAGGTCCTAAGAGCAGAGAGTTTGCTTTGCTTTTTTTTTCTTTTTAAAAAACTTGATAGTATAACCAAGGAGAATTACTTGAATAGGACTTCATAACCTACCAGAACTCTGTCACTCAGATATGTGTAACATTTGCTTGCTTCCTATTTTAAATACAAGAGTCAAGCATGAGCTTTCATTCACATTAGCACCTAATTTTTAATCAATTAAGCATACTAATTGTAAAAATTTACAGTACTCTGTTAGAAATGCCTTACAAAAAAAAAAAAAAAGAAAAAGAAATGTCTTACAAAATGTTTCCACCTCTTATGTTATATAGAATAATTTCTAACTTGGTAGATAAGATCAGTTTCTAGATAACTAGTTATTTCCTGAACTCACACTAGTATTTATATTAAGCTGTCCTAGTATTTACTATTAATATACTGAGATTGCTGGTATATTCTAAACTCATAACTAGAGAGAGAAGGAGGACATTTTATCCTGATCACTCTTTGTAGGAATCTAGTTTCAGCTATTATTTTTTAGAGTTTGCTCTATTTGTCTTTCTTTTAAAATTCTGATTTCCTCTCACTTTCTAGAAATGTGAAATTAATTTTTGCATATCCATTTGATAAAATACCAAATTTCTCGTTCACATATGAGAACACTTCACTCATGAAGCACTGAATCACAGATAACCTGAAATAATATTTGGGGCTTAAATTTATATTTTAGATTAATAGATTGATGGTTTTTTTTTTCAGTTTTAGTTTTGGTTCAGATTTTTGATTGATGGCAACAAGTTATAATTTTTAGCAGACTAAATGAAACTAACCAAATGAGGTGTCTCAAGAATCTTGTTCTATTCCTATTGGTCTATCGGTAGATTGTCTCACTTGGTTCATTCCAACACTCTTAGCTTCCTTATATCATTTCTTGTCTAATTTAGAGAATGAACAAATGTATTTGTTGCTAGATGGAACAAGCAAATAAATGTTAGAGACTCTTTTGGGATACTTTAGAGGAAAATGAATTTCAGTATGAATCTAGAAGTGCCGTATTACATGTGTTCTCTTCTGATTAACTTGTGGAGTTTCTATTTTCTAATTATTTTCACTAGAACTTTGAGGAGAAGAAAAGTTAATGAATTTTATTCCTATAAGTAGAGCAAGTTAAAAGAAAAGTCTGTAGAGAAACTGGAATTTTAGTAACAGGAAATACTTTTCTTCAAACAAATAATAGAGACATTTATGGAAAAAATCCAAGGCAACTCATAGGATGGGGAGAAGGAAAAGCTGAATAAACAAACTTCAGAAAAGCAAAAGCAGAGCCTTCCTGAACCCTTTTCTCTAAGACATTACTATTAAGATGAACAAGCTCCAGGGTCTGTTCAGTCTCTGTCTTCCATTTGAATTTACATTACTCAGAAGTAGACTACCAGATTGAACATAGTGATGTGAGGCAGAGTTTCCCCTCTGCTTTTCCGGTTCACACATAAAAGCAACAAAATAGGAGCTGGGGATTTAGCTCAGCGGCATAAGCACCTGCCTAGCAAGTTGGCGGTCGTGAGCTTGATCCCTGGTACCGATAAAAAAGAAAAAGTCAAAAAAAAATTAAAAAAAAAAAAAAAGCAACAAAATAAACTGAAGGATTTTTTTATATTGTATTTGTAACAGTTTGGAAAACATTGGGGATACTATTCACTAAAATCAGTGAGAATATGATTATAATAATAAACACTTGATATAATAATATCACATTTAAGAACTAGTTCAAGGTAATATAGCCAATTAGGCTATCATAATGTTCAATAATAAATAATAAGGACTAAAACTAAGTTACTGAAACAGAACCAGTAAAGCTTAGAGAATAATTATAAATGGAGTGAGAAAAATGGGACATCAAAAATAACTTCTGAGCATATGAATCAGCAATTAAACAGATATTTGTTCAAATGAAAGGACAGTTTTGGTGATGGAAGTGCTAGGAGTTACTTGATTAGTTAGATTGTCAGTTTCATGTATTTTATTTGCATCATAGACTTGTTAGAAGGTATCTTCTTATACTCTTCCTGTCTTTCAATATTCTCAAGCAGAATGTCCCCTAGAAATTCAAGCTGCTACATTTCTTACCTCAATGTATACTGCTGTTTTACTTATCAATACTCTGTAGATATACAGGCTTACTTTCCTGGGAGGCAAATTCCTTCTTGGTAGAGAATCCTTCTTGGATTATTGCAACTGCCTACTTCCTCTGACTGCAATGTGCTTGGCCAAGAACTTGTTACAGCTTTTCCCTTTCCTACCATTCACCCCTGAGTGATGTCACCTTATCAGATCAGCTTTTTCTAAGCAGTCTTCTTCAGGCCACCATACCAATTCTGTTCTGCCCTGCTGTATTCATCATTTCTTTCTATTTTTCACTGCTCCAAATTGTATTCCTTTTTATTAAATTGTTGTCTGTTTATCTTGTCTAGGTAATAAACTCCAATGGAGCGGGAAACTATAGACATAAGGGCAGCCCCAAACATGAATAAATGCAATAACTATGCATTAAAAGATATGAAAGTCCTATATATGGGACTGGAGGCATAGCTCAGGTTAGAGTACTTGCACTAACATGCACAAAGCCCTGGGTTCAGTCCCTAGCACCACAAAAACAAAAACAAACAAAAACAGAAAGTGATACACATGGACTCAGGGTAAAAATTTTTAAGTTATTGGTAACTGCTTAACATAACACTGTGTGAATTAAGATTTTCGTGTTATGCAGATTCATAATTAGTAAACCTTAGACTTCTAAAAAGAACTTATAGTGATCCTATTGCAAAGATTTTAGTTTTGTTTAAGCATATTTTCGAAATGGAAAATCTGGACACTTTCTCTTAACCTGAGTAAAAATTCATCTTTGGTCATTGGAGATTTCTAAATTTTATCTTTTTTCTTGAAGGCTCAGTCTCAAGATATAGTTCCAACTATAGGATTCAGCATAGAGAAGTTCAAGTCATCCAGGTAATCCACATTATCCCTGTCACTGAGAGGTTGTAACTAAAAAAATCACTATATTAGATGTACCTAGTCATCCCTACATGCTTACTAAAAGTAACGTTTTTTTGTCACTGGCTGTGCTTTATTTTTTAGAACTTACATTCAGACATACTCTGATAACCTCATGTGCAAAGGAAACACCCTTTTTTAGTATGTTAGTTGTTGCAAACCATATTTATATTAATAAGTTCATTTTGGAGAAGGTTTATTTTTAAAAATGCCTTACAGTGATTATTGTATAGCAATGGTGATTTGATTGAAACTAATTTAAAATTTTAAATGAAATTATGTTTTGCCTTCCCTTTTTTTCCTCTAGTTTGTCTTTTACAGTGTTTGACATGTCAGGTCAAGGAAGATACAGAAATCTCTGGGAACACTATTATAAGTAAGTATGCTTGTGAATGTTGCTTAACTAGATACTCATCTTTTAGTAACACAAAATGGGCCCAGGGATTTAGTTCAGTGGCATAAATGCCTGCCTGGTAAGCACAAGATTGTGAGTTTGATCTGATACCCAAAAAAAGAAATCACATAATGGTTGGAAATCTAAGTCATATGGGCTGTGACATAATAGTTTTTTTTTTTTCATATAATTTTAGCACATTTGTTAACATAAGAAAATAACCATACTTTACATTGTTTCCCAAGTGCTTCAAGTTCTTCATGACATTTAACATTTGCATGTGCTATTTACTGCATCTTTAATGTTCTTCTCTATCCTGATTCTTGTCAGTTTATGATTGATATTTTCATGCTTCAAGAACCAGGCAGGCCAAGGCCTGAGTATTGAGGTCAGTGGGGTAAGTGCCTGTCTGGCAAGTGTAAGGTTGTAAGTGTGATCCCTGGTGTCAAAAAAAAAAAAAAAAAAAATCAGAAAAGAACTAGGTCAAAAGATACCTCTTCTGCGGTGTCACTCTTTCTCCAATTATATCATTTCTTGGAACCCTTGGATGTTGTTTAGCATGTAAATAGGAAATATTGACTGAATTTAGTTGAAATTGCATTATTGGCTAGCATTTGTTCTGTTTATTCTATCAGCAATTCTAGACAAGATATTTTTCAGCATATGCAAAATGAGTACAGATTAACTACTTAAGGTTTTAACAGCAGTCAAGTTGTTAGCACTCAGATGTGTTTTATCGTCTCAAAATTTGCATGTGATATTAAACTCATTAATATCTAATGTTACTAAGAACACTTCATTTAAGAGCAGTGTAACTTAGTTTTAGAATCTGAAACAGTATTCCTTGACTAAACACTCTTTGGTCATTATAAACTCCTGACAAAATGACACATAAAGACTATGAGATCAGATTTTAGATTTTAATTTGTTAATTCTTTCCCATTGAGGTAAGAACAAATACTATATTCCTTAGATATGAACAAGGGAGAATTATTCCATTTTTTTTTCAGTGAGTACTTTAAAAGTGTGAAAGTCTATTTAAATCAGATTAATCCCAAGGAACTCAGAACTCAAATTTGAGGTTTAAAAAAACAAAAGTAACATGCTATGGTATTCTACATTAAGTTTCTTGAGAAATCCTTTTTTTTTAAACCTGAGTTTTCAGTTTTTCTTTTTATTCATCTTCTAAATAATTTATAAATATTTCTCATTTTTAAAATGAGAAAAAAATACATAAAACAGTATTTTTAAAAAGGCAACCTTTTTCTGATTTTAATTCCTTTTCAAAATCTATTTGAAAGAAATAAATGAATTCAGGAATATTGTAGTTAAATTGTAGATGGAATGATAAATATGATTGCTATTGAGAAATCTTCCATTATAAATTTATTTCCTCTATATTTTATTTTTAAAAGTACATTTTAATCTATTGAACTGAAAATGTTAAAACATTACTGACCTGCATTGTTGTGTTTATTTTGACTGTCAAAAAGAGTGCCCTTATAAGAGAGAATTTAATATCTTTTTCCAGGGTAATTTATTAAAATGAATAATGTTCATACTACCTGGAAAACACTGTTACTTTTACAAAGTGTCCTATAAGTAGGACTATTGGCAAAGCTATACAATAGAAGAATGTCTATTAGCATTGTTTGTAATAACATTTTCCCTGTCTCATGTCAAGAAAACCATCCTTCATGTAAGTAAGTTATTTGTATATATACAGAGAAGAAAACTATTAGTGGGTTATACACTAGACTGTGAGTAGCATTTGTTTTGGAATAGTAGAATTATAAGGAAGTTTACTTTCAAACTTACATAGTTCTTCAATGTTAATTATATAATTTCTATGTACCATTTTTACACTGTAAAAAATAATAGATATAAGGAATACACTATTTTAAAATATCATTATTTTCCCATAAATATCACTACTCATACATTTACCATTGTTATTCTTTTGGGTGTGTTTCATCTTTTTTGAAACATTTATATGGTGATTGCATACGTACATAGAAAGGAGCTATCTAAATTATGTACTGTTTATACTTTCATACTGTTTTTTTTCATTAACTTTCTGTGATGTGGATAAATCAGGAAAAGCATACAATGAATGTAATTGTAATGGTAGCCTAATATATTTTTACACAGCTTTGCCAATATTTGCTTAATCATTCTACTTTTGGAAATGAAGATTATTCTCAGTTTTTGAAGATTATAAATAATTCTCGAGTTATCATCTTGTTATGCATATCTTAGCTGTAGCTTATGTTTCCACAAAATAATTACAGAAATAAAATCACTTGATCACAATGATTGAGCATTTGTAAAGTTCTTTATATATATTTCCAATATTACTGTTTGTGTACCTACTAGGAATATGTTAACCTAAATTATCTTTGGTTAAATGATGAGAAATGATATAAATATATAGAATCTTTTTATTCGTTTAATTTCTGAAATAGAACTTTAAGATCATGTGACTGAGATGAGTCACAAAGAAAACATAGATAACCAGTAAATATATAAAAGATATTGACACTGCTGGCAACTAATGAAAGACAAAATAATATGCTAAAATATATTCCCTGAATGTGTAAGAACCTCAGTTAATCCATAATACTGAAGGAAAAATGTTCAGTGACTGACTGTCACTTTTACAAAGAATAAACAGATAAAAATGAAAGCTACTTGTAACTGTTGCTTCAGGTGTTTATTACAAACACAACAATATACACTTGTATATCTACTATATCTCTATAAAATGTGTTTTTCACAATGGCATGTGATAAAATAGTTGAGAAGTACTGTTATTTAGCTCCAGTGTTTAATATACAAATGATACAGACCATACTGTAAAAAAATCAAGGAAATTTACATAGATAACAGAAAGTCAAAGTATAAAGCAGCAAGATTCCACTTTAAATACAGATGTGGATATTTGTGTAGGAATATCCATAAAGAAAAATACCAATTTGCACCAAAGTAAGAATGATCATTATATCTATGTAAGAGGGTTATGGTCTCTAAACTATTTTTCATATTCTAATTGCTTAAACAGAAACCTCATAATCTTAAAAACTAATAAATTATGAGAAATAAAAAAAGAACTTACATAATATATAATCATTAATGGATGACTTAGCCACATAGAGTAATAAGAACACTAAGACTTCTAAATCATTAGAAGTGGACAAAAGATAGAAAAAAATAATTCGTAAGTTAGGAAATACAAATGAATAATAAATGTGGAAAAATGTTAATTGTAACTTTAATTTTTCTCTTTGATCATATAGAGAAGGACAAGCCATTATTTTTGTCATTGATAGTAGTGATACATTAAGAATGGTTGTGGCTAAAGAAGAACTTGATACTCTTTTAAATCATCCAGGTATGTATATGATATCTTTCAGGCTGCGTGTGATGTCTGCCTTGGGAATTTTTATATGACATATTTTTTCTTAAGTATCAATTTAAAAATGTTCATTTTTATAACCTTATCCTATTTAAACTTTTTAAATTGTAAAACTTACTAGTTATGCAAAATTTTAAAAAATGGCTTGCCAATATCATCATGTCTTTAAATACCAAAGCTTTTTGCAATATTTTGTCTCTTTAATACTTATTTCCTCAAAAATTAAAATTTTCCTTCTTCCTGATTATATGAATAATGTTTGCCAATAGGAGAAAAAAATGCAGACGAAAAATTAAGAAGGCTGTCAAAAGTCTGTATATTTCAAAATTTGTTAAAATGATTTCAGTCATTGTCTTTTAATGTGCTTTTCCATGTGTATCTAAGTGTGAAGTGTGTTTGTCACAGTATTTCTTACATGTTTATTATAGAATTCTTTTAAAGCATCTCTTTGTTTTTAATCTCCAAATGTTAAATCTCTGTCAGTATTTTTCAGCATACCAGTTTTTACAAGTTAGTATCTTTTCTTTTATGGTTTTTAAATATGCCCTAACATACACATGTAAATCTGCATAGGCAGATAATAAAGGTAACTATCGGCCTCAGGGGTAGGGGTTCTATCATTGTTGTCTATCAAAATATGACCATATTTTTTTACACTCTTCTCCATCTTCCAATTCTCAATACTATGTGATAGAAGTACTTTCAGGTCAAACTGCATGTAATTCTGTAATTCTCAACTGCTCCCTAATATTCTGTCCTGTGAGCATACACTGTTGAATTGATAGCTATTCTTCTTTTCCCCCCAACCCTACTGTAGACTATCCTTCAGTGAGTATTGTGGAACTCTTCATTTCTAGCTTTAGTCATGGCAAAAGATTTTAAGTACTCTTTGTGCTTGGACATTTAGAAAAGTATGATAGTTGAAAAGAACTGTGTCTTTGTTAAAAATGGAATAGAATTTAGTGTGGCACTTCCTTACAATTCAGGTGCTTAATTTTATATATTTCTGATGTTTTTATCTAACTATCTCAACTTTATTCAGATTTTCAAAAAAAATTATATGGCTTTTACCTTTTATGTGACCTTCTCATTTAAAAGCTTACCAGTCTTAGGTCTGGGGTGAGAATACATTCTTGAGTGTGCATTGATTTTGTCACTTTATCAGAAAAATGTTTGAATGTTGCCCAATACAGTGAAATAGTTCAATCTGCTTCAAATGCAATGGGAACCTTGATTTTCTTAATGAAACGTTGTTCATGTGTTCTGTATGTACTAATATGCAACATAGGATATGAATTAAGTGAAAAGGTAAAGTCCTTAAAGATTGGCATATTGTTTGTGTGAGTAGTGACATTATAAAGTTATGTCTAGAAACACATATGTTTGTTCTGATGTGAAGACACTGAGGAAAATGGATTGCCTTTTCTATGGAGGGCAGTTAGCCAGTGACAGAGGCAGGAAGGAGATTCTTTAGTTATGTACCATTTTGTATTTTCTGAATTTTGAACTAGATAAGTATATTATCTTCACAAAAAAAATCATTCAGGACAAAACGTATTTTTTTAACATGTCTGCCTTCTTGTCTTTAGATCTGTGACTAAAAACTAAAATCAGAATCCAGTTTCTCTTCTTTATACTTCTGCTTTAAAGTTTGCCTCTTTTGTGTTCACATTAAAAACAAAACAAGCAAGATTTTTTACTTTTTGTGTAAGTGCTTCTCTGTAACTATTTATCAAGTCACCTCCTCTAACTGCATATGTCTTTTGCTCAAATATGTGTTTGACATTATGTGTCTTTAAATTTTGTGTGTGATATACAAAGAAGTAATTGTGAAACAATTTATTTTATTTCAGTTTTAAGTATTTGGGGCAAAATAACCCAAAAAGTTGTAAGCATGATAAGTCTTATTTTCTCTTTTAGATATTAAACATCGTCGAATTCCAATTTTATTCTTTGCAAACAAAATGGACCTTAAAGATGCAGTAACATCTGTAAAAGTGTCTCAGTTGCTGTGCTTAGAGAATATCAAAGATAAACCATGGCATATTTGGTAAAGTTTTATATTGGCTTTTTATTTCATATTTCTGAAAATTCTCTAAGCTGAGGGGTTTGGTTTTTGGTTTTTCTCCTGCTTTCATTTTATAGATGGACAAACATAGTGGGATGTAAGCTAAGGGTTTTGTTTTACAGAATTGTGCTGTTGCAAGTATCCCTAAATATATTAATGTTTAAAATCCTTTTATTCTTTTAGGGACAAGAAAATATGAACTCTTAGAATAATTTAAATACCCCACTTATTCATACAGTTTCGTTTATACTGATTTCCTTCTGCACATGAAATCGACAAACACAGTCCCATCTTAGGGCATTTGTACGTGGCGCCCCCACCCTTGTCTGAATCATTCTTCAAAATAATTTTCTGACTTTTTGTGTTATTTCCTTGAGGATTGTTAACATGTACCTCTTTCTTTTGTTCGTTCGTTTTGCTTTTTTGTTTAGTCTATCTTCCTACACTAAAATTCCCTGAGAAATAGAACTTATATAACCCTTGAAATAGTGATAGCACCTGGGATACAGTAGGTGCACAATAATTATTTGCTAAAACAATAAATAAAAATATTGATTTTATGTTATCTTACTAATAAGGTTAACGTCTTATTGTTTGAAACTACTAATTGGCTGGATATTTAGCTCAGGAGCATAAGTGCCTACCTGGCAAGTGTGAGGTCATGAGTTTACCCCTGGCACCAAGGGAAAAAAAAAAAAGAAAAAATGAAAAAAACTACTAAGCATTATTTATTTGGAAAAGTTTTTACTAATATATTTAATTTCAACACTCCTTTTTACCAAAATATATCAACAATGATACCTGTAGATTATATATTAGTATTTCAGTGCCTGCCATACATTAGTAAAATCCCTTCTGCATACCACCCACCTACCTTTCCCTGCTACAAGATAGTCATCTTATCAGAAGTTTTCCATTTCCAGAAAAATTATAGTAACTAAGGAAAAAGGCTGGACTCAGAAACAGAGAAATCCACCATGTCTATAAGGGGAAACAGAGTATAAAGGCAAAAGTTAGTAGAGCTCAGTAAAGAACTTTATGCATTAAGCCTGAGTTTTGAAAGAGTAATAATGAAGTAGAACTTCAGGAAATGCTTGAAACTGTAGGCCTCCACTACATCCATCTAATACTTTGCCTGTTGAGTGAAGCCTGCCTTATTTTGGAATCAGAGGAAAAGTCTGTTTAGAAATGATTCTTGAGTTGAAAATTGAGGTCTTGTGGTATTTGGTTGGCAAAGAAAGGTAGAATTTTGAATGCAGAAACATGCTAAGATAGCATCCTTGTATAGTATTTCCCTAAAGAATAACTAAATCATCTGTGAAGTAAAATAATTTTCTAAATTTTAGATTGTATTGAATGTTGCAACTCCTTTGATAAATGGTACAATAGTCAAAACTATGGATATAATTAGTAAAAATACCCTTTAAAAATTTTTTACTAGTACATGTTTGTAGTTTGTGCAGTTAACAGTCATCTGTAGGAATAGGTGCATGTTCACAATACCACTTGGTTTTTTTTTAAATCCACCCCCCTACCCCATTTAATTCCTCTTTTCCCATTTTCACTCTTGTTGATATTAATCTTAGCTCATGTTTATGGCATATAATGCTTATATCCATTGAGATTATGTTCCTGTATTAACATATTTTTATTCTACTTGTCTCTCTTCTAACTCTCAAAAACCTTTTTTAACTTAAAATTAACAACAATTGACTTTCGATAAGTTTATTCAATTATGATATCTAAATATTTCTCTGTTAGAGAAATATTCATACACTGGTGCTAATAGGCCATATGTAATGTAATGCTATTTTCTGTATAACTTACCAAAGAATGCCAAGAATTTCTTTCAAATTTTTCTGGAATTTGGTTTCTCCTTTTTTTAAATTGGACATTTCTAAATTCAAGTTAGAATGTCACCTATTAACTTTGTTATTTAGAACATGTGTAAATTTGGAAATAAATCTGTCCTTTTTCAATTTTACATATAAAGGTAATGCTCAGTGATACAGAGGTAAAGTGTTGTGTTTTACACTAGGCATAAGTTATAGGAAATAGGAAAAGATCATAGGAAAGATTTATCTAAAATTAAAGGAAAACTTTTGTGGTTTCTTTTGACTGGTTGTACTACACATACAGTCAACTCTGATTTTTAGGACCTAATTGTATTACTGTTCTTCCTGTTTGTTCTTGCACTTAATCCCAGGTATGGAGTATGTGTGTGTGTGGGGGGTGTATTTATTGGGGAGACAGTGAGTAAATAAGTTTATAAAATGTCAGCTGGGAAGATGAAGAAAAATAAATAGGATAAAAAAAAGAATGTTGAGAGTTGCTTCTACTCTGAGACTTAATTGAAGTTAGGCAGCACTTAATGGGAAGGTTTGAAGAAATAGCTGTCCAGATTGAGAGAGCATCCAAATACTTTTCTTGGATGAGAATTTACCTGGTTATGTTTCAGGACCAGCACAAAGCCCAGGGTAGAACAGAGCTGACTAGGGAGAAATACCAGATAACACCACTGAGAAACAACTAGGAGCTATAGAGCATTACAGGAAATGGTAAAGGCTTTGTCTTTTGCTCTCATTATGTTTTGTTTTCACTTGAGAGAAAAGAAGATAGGGAGAATGCAAACATTTGGAACCTGTGAGGAAAAGATGTAAGGTTTTTAGGATAGTGATTCTTCCAACAATGGGAAAGAATGTCTTCATCATATTGTGTATATGATAAAATATCTTGTACATTATTGATACAAATATTTGAGGTTCTGATGTTTTGCTGTTACTATACATAATCAGTAATTTGACTTAAATAATTTTATATTTAATGCTGTTTATTTTAAAATAATTCTATGGTAAGCCATATTTGTAGTTTAATAAATATTTCTTTAGAAATAATTCCCTTCGGTTAGAATCAGTTGGGTTCTTTTAGGTATTGCATTTTAGTATTTTACCCGATGCTTAGGCACTAAAAGAAGCATAGTCATTCAGGAAAACTAATTATATATTAATTAACTTTTAAGCAGTCATATTTTGCAAATAAATGACTGGTTAATGACATGTTATGAGACATGTTATGGTCTGCGTTTTGCAAAAGGATTATATGATATTCTAAAAACATTGTTAGTTCATGTAACTTAGTTATGAATATATGTAAAATATAACAATAAATATTTATTTAGTTTCTTAGGACTGAAAAGCAATAAAAGTATTTTGGTTTGGATGTTTTATATGCATACCTTGAATACCTAGTTCACACAGTAACAAAGACAAGGAGCTAAAAAACCTAGCCAAATTCCTGTAATAAATATAATAGTTAATATAACTATATTTGAAATCTACTGGGTTCTCATTTTATTCTACTAGCTTACCAAAGTTATAATGATGGGATTATACCTTATAGATATAAAATTCTCCTTCCAATAAAGAAGTCACTTTATTCTATGACTATATCATAACATAAATCAGTAAATCAAACTTCTCTTCCTCTTTTTCTCTCTCTTCTCTGTCTCTCTTTTCCTCCCTGCCTTTTATGTTTCTGTCTGTCTGCTTTCTCTTCTCCTCCATCCCCCCTCCCTCACTCACTTCCTGCCTTCCTCTCTCTCCCTTTCTCTCTCTCTCTCTCTCTCCCTCTGCACTTGCTTGCTTGCTTCCTTTTCTTGCAGAGGATTGAACCCCAGAATCTTGCAAGAATTTTCCAACACTTGAAAAATAATGCAAAATATATGTATTACTAGTATAATTACTACTCCAGATTAATAATTTATGGTTATGTTTTTTAAAATGTCTATACATACTATGAAAACATTCAGTTTCAAAGCTTAACCAGTTTTACTCAAGTATGTGTTACTAAAATGTATCAATTTTTTATATAGCAAAATTAATTCTTTATATCTGTATATAATGAAATGAATTTATTTCTTATGGATGTATTTCAGTGCTAGTGATGCCATAAAAGGAGAAGGATTACAAGAAGGTGTAGACTGGCTTCAAGGTACATCACAAAATACTGTGTTTCTTCAGCCTTTGTTTCTTCTGCATTCATATTATGGCCTTTATACATTTTGCTTTTATTATATCATTGCTTTTTTCCTCTTATTACATCTATTTCTTCTGTCAGGAAAAAAAAAAGTACAGTAAGTACCTAATACCTGGTTGTATTACTTCATTACTTTTTCTTAAGGATTTAATTTAAATATTTGCATCTGTATATATGAAACATACCTAGAAAATAATTTTAATTTATGGCACCAAATTTTAATCTGATCTGGTAATTGATGGACATTTAAATTTTAGGGTGAATGTTAGGTCTTACTGTCACTAAAAATAAAAGCTGTGCATTACCCAATGTAATATCAGCACTTGGGAGGCTGAGGCAGGAGGATCACTGCAAGTTTGGGGCTATTCTAAACTGCATAGTGAAACCCTGTCTGAAAAAGACAAAAACAAATTAACTGTAACCCTAATGGCATGTACAGTGGGTCGTATCTTTTAGGAATCATGTTGTTCAGTGTTGCATATGTAACTTTATTTTTTTTTTATTTTTTTTTTTTGCATATGTAACTTTATACGTACACTTAGGCAGTGTACAACTTTTTTTCCGATTATTTTCTTTAGTACATGTTTGTAGTACACAACATTTACATTTTTTGTATGGGATTGATACATATACATAATACATCTTAATTTATTTCATCCCTTCATCCATCTCTTGATCCCTTTTCTTTTTTTTTAAACATGTTTATTGAACATGTTTTCACTCTTGGTGTGAGGTTGGTACATGTACATAACATATCTTAATTTCCTCTTTCATCCCCTTTTCCCTTTCCCCTTCCATCTCTTGATCTCCCCCTTTGAGAATGATCTATTAACATATATTTAGTATTATAAATACTGGTATTCTATGTTTGTATATTTGCATTTCTGTTTGGTATTCATAAAAATAGCTATAGTTGGTATATATGTAGTACATAGCAGGGAATTAATAAGATATATAATGTACCCTACAGATACATTATCTAGTTTTAAGCACACAAAGCAATGAGTGTGAGTGCAACCACTAGGTCTCTAGTCTAGAAACTTGATGGGCTGGTCAAACGTTTTCTGTTTTAAGCAAGAGAAACAGAAGATCATTCCCACCGTAAGTTTTCCTACTCTGGACAACGGTAAATAGTAAGATAAAAATTCTAATTATAATCTTATGACTAGAAATTGAAATTTCTTCTATACCAGCATTTTAATGCCGAGTATATGTGTGATTTTTTTTTTTTAATCTGCATGTTGGAAGCAATAGCAGGAATACATACAACACATCATTGTGGGTCATTTAAAAGTAGTGTGCCTGCCTACCTTCCTGCACTAAAAACATATTTTGTAAACATTTTTTATTATTGTACAGTCTTTATTAAGTAAAATTTAATTCAGAACCCCTAGTGGTTCTGATAAGAACTAGTGAGATTTTTCTGGGAACCCACCAGGCTAGTTTATTAGACTATTGGAAAGGTGTGGTCCAGGTTATAGGATACATTCCCACCAGAAACTAATGGATCATAGAGGAAAATTCTAAAGGACATACCAGAAGCATGTTATTAGCCCTGGTGTCTTTACAGGTGCCTACCTTTACCTTACCTTTACATCTTCAAAGGTGAAGATGTAACATGAGATGGCAACTTTACTGTCTCAGCATCATTTAATTCAGAGCATAGTAATTACAGAAAATAAATTGATGGCTATCTTGATTTTAAACTGTAGCTCTTAGCTCTTCCCCTTGGTCCTTTTCTTGTTTTATTTTAGCCGTTGCAGTCAGGCCACTGGGTGTCAGTAATGATCCAACACAGGAGTACCAACAACCAAGTCTTGGTAGCAAATTTTTGTTTCTTTGGCTTTTTTGAACCATTATCTGTCTTGCCTACTGATCCTTGTAAGAAAGACACATTGCTGGAAGTACATGTTTGTGTCCTTTATTGTCACATTACTATATGTTCCCTTTACAATAGTCTTCTGCAAGGTAAGTAGTAGTATACTTACTTTCTATAAGTGGCATAAAATAATTATGGAAAGACTTGAGTTTTTTAAGTCCAGTACATTTATTACTACATATTAACTGTGTATTAATTAACCTATCTGCCTACCTTGCAAAGATAAACTTTTTCATTTGTAAAATTAAATGTTGTAAATTAATGTACAGCTTAAATTATCCTGCCTGCTAAAGTAATTAACATAGGAAAGCAATCCATAAAAGTTAAATTTACTCTTTCCTAATCATTCTAACAGAGACAGAAACTAAGTACATAGATTTTTAAAATAAAAAGGTGTAAATTATTCATGTTTCTTATATAATAGTAAAGTTTATGTTTCAATGGTCCTAGTTATCTCTGTACTTTAAAAAAGATAAACACTTATCTTATAAAATAAGTAACAGTAAATATAGTCTGTATGACTTCTCACTAGCAAATGGGATTTGTGTAAACCTTACTGTAAAAATGTTCTGAACTTACATCTCTTCATTTTGCCTCTAGAAGTTTAAAATGTCCTGGTTCATGTTGGAACAATTTTATCTTATATTTTAAGATTGGAAACTTATTTATGAGATATTGAATGACACATTTAAGGCTATGAATCTATTTTCTTTTGGAAAGATTCTCAATTGGATGTGTATAAATACACAGACAAGAACCCTTGGGTAGTCTATGAAGTTTTACCTTTTTAGACCACAAGAAAATATATAGAAACTGTTACAGAGCATTAAGTTTTATAACTCTGAAACTTTCAGATGACCTTTTTAAAAGAAATCTTCACAAATAACTAGTGAATCATTAGTCTTGCCATTTTTATATGTGTGGGAAAAGTTAATAAGCTTCCAGATTTTCAGTTCTATTTGTTGTTTCATTTTGCTTTTTTTGTTGTACTAGGTACCAACCCCAAGGCCTCACATGTCCCTGTAGGCATGTGCTGTCCCACTAAGCTGTCCTCTCAGTACACTTTCAGATTTCATTATTAGATTTTTAGAAACTATGCATACCAATATTCCAGTGGTAGATGGGTGAAATTATACATACTTAGTTTCAACCTTTCTAATCACACTAATAGTAAAAAGACTTTTGAAAATAGACATTAACCTTCAGTGAGCAAAAGGAATGAAAATGGCAGCCAAATTTTGAAATCTGGCTATATGATGGATATTGAATGATTTAATCAGACCTCAGAAAGATGGATTCTATTCAACAGTGGGGAAAGCTAGAATGTGGCCTAATTACTGTGCAGATCCTCTCAAAGACTCAAACTGCTAGAAAGTGAACACACAAGGATGAAAGTATAGCCAAAAAGACAATTTTTACATCCTTTCCCAAAATGTCCAAAATTTTATTCATGGCAAAAAGGCAAAGAGAGTATCTTTTGACTGGAAAAAATCAGGCATGACTTTGTATGTTACTGCTAAACTAAAGATGAAGAGTGAGTGAAAATTTTCATGTGGAATATTACAGTTCTCTTCTATCTTCCCCTCCTTTTCCCAGAAAACACTTGAGGGAGGCAGAGCATAGAGTTATAGGGAAAAAAAAGTCATAACAATATTAGTATTGGGGTTACTAAAAAATTGGCGTACTTAGACACGTTAAAATGATGACCATATCTGACAAACCTCACGTGCATTTCCAAATTCCAGTCTTCCTTTTTTAGGGTTCATTCATACATATGAGCATGACAAAAGATTGCCAGACATTTGAGAATGAAAAAAGCATGAAATATTGTAATATAAACAAACAAAACATGGTTATAGGAGGTAGAATTGTAGGAGAAAGATCTCCAGAACTTAATTAGAAATTCCTCTAAGAGATAAGAAAATAATGTTTTCATGAATAAAACCAGTATGACTTGAAAAGGTGCAAACTGAAAATGAGTCCTTAGAATGTAAGAATATCAATAAAAAATAAGACAGAGACAGTTTATCAGAGGTAGGGCAAGGAAACAAAGTATAGAAAAATGTAAAGAAAGTAAATAGGGGGCCATAGGCCCAATATCCAAACAAGAAATTCAGAGAGAACAGAAAAAAATGAGTAACAAATGGCTGAATAGTGATTATCACAACTGAACTGTGAATTTTCAGTTGAAAGACCCCTGGAGAGCCCAATGCAGTGGATGAAAATATTCCCACTAGAGTACTTCATTAGTAAAATCCAACACTGAAGACAATAGCAGACTCCACAATAACCAGCTCATCTCAGAAAACAGCCAGCCATATGAGAGCAGCAGGTCTGTCTACCCACTGCCCTTTGCATCCTTGAATTGCCCTGGCCTCTGCTCCCTCAGGCTGCCCACCATGCCTTCATGGGGCCAGGCAGGCCCACATGGGACACAGGGCAGCCCAAGTCTGCCATCCTCCAGAAGGCTCTGTGCTTGTCCACAATGGGGCTGCAGCTGCTGGCCCTTCAAACGCCTGACAGGCACTGCAGACTTTTCACCTGGTTGCAGTAAGTCATTAATATCCAGGCGGTATCCCTCACTGAGTGCTGGCACCTCCCTTCCCTCTGCCCATCTTCCCTGGAGAAGCCCAGGCAAGTAGGAACTGGGAAGCTCTCAACACTGCCATTGGGTCCAGCTCTTCACTTCTTCCCTTCTAGCAAATAAATCTCAGCTATGATAAATCCAGAGACTTTACTTGAGGGGGACAGGCATAAGGGTGAGGGGACTAAAAGTCACATTGTGACAAGGGCAGATTCTGGCTAAAAACGGGCTCATTTCTATAGACATACAAGGATAAGGAAATAGAATGTCAGACTTCTCAACAGAAATAACTTGGAAGCTGTAAGATCATAAGACAATACCTGGAAAATGGGAAAAAATGGAATTTTTCTTAGGCATTATCAATATATTGTGACATCTTCGGCTGTGTAAAGTCTTCAGAATTTATTCTGTACCTTTTTCTAAGATACCCACCAAGAAGATTATGCTTCAGAAACAAGAGTATAAACCTAAAAGAAATAAGGAACCATGAAATACGAAAAGCACCACAAAAGAATGAGAAAAGAATTCCTAGTAGAGATCCTAGAATGATAAAAGGAGGGGCTGGGGATTTAGCTCAGCGGCATAAGTATCTGCCTTGGAAGCAGGCAGTCGTGGGTTTGTTCCCTGGTACCGATAAAAAGGAAAAAGACAAAAAAAAAAAAATGATAAAAGGAAATGTAACTATGGTAGGCTTAGTGAACAGCAGGTATAGATCAGAGTTTTGTAAGACTGTAGGGATTTCTTTAAGATGATGGAAATGATGGCTTATGTAATGTGCATAATAAAATTTTAAAGTGTGAAAGTGTTAACTACATTAAAAAATAAACATGGTTTGAGTAGGGGTGGGTGGGACAAATATTACCTCTAGGGAAAACATAGTAGAGGAAACCTGAGTATACCAATTATCTCACCTGTGATTAACATGTAATCATATTGGTGTTATTGTATTGTTGTGTTAGAGAAATGAGAATATTAGAAGTATAGTGAAGATTGCAGATGATCACATGAGAATATGAAAACTGAAGCTTTATATTACATTACTATTTTATATTACAGAAATATTATAAAAGTATATTTAAAGACATAAGTGATCACTTAAAAGGGATTTGGAAGTAGTTGCTTCTGGAATAGAAGAGATGAAGCAAATTAGTGTTATTTTTCATACAAATATTACAGAACTAGTTGATTCTTTACAACTTTTAATAAAAATTAAAATAATAGTATAAATTATGCTTTAAGAAAAACATATAGGGACCAGGAATTTAGCTCAGTGGTGTAAGCACCTGCCTGGTAAGTGTGAGGTCGTGTGTTCGATCCCCAGTACCAAAAAAAAAAAAGAAAGAAAGAAAGAAAAATAGATGTATGCATAGAGTTATACAGATCTGTGTTGCATTATGTTTTTTATTGTGTACTATACAGAATAGTGGGTTTTATTTTGGCATATTCATACATCCATATAGCATGCTTTGTTCATCTCCACCTCTTCATTCCCTCCCCCTCCATATAATATACTTTGATCTTCTCCCATCCCTAATCACCTATCTCTTCTCTAATATCTTTTACTTCCATGTCATCTTTTTAAATTTTTTTTCTTAGATTTCTCAGGTAAGAGATAACATATGCTGCTTAACTTGCAGAGTCTGGCTTATTTCACTTAACACAGTGCTCTCCAGGTGCAGTATTTATTTGCAAATGAATTCATGCTTCTTTATGAATTTTATAGGTTGCATTTTCTTTATTCATCTGTCAGTGGGCCCTATGCTTGCTATCATGAATTGTGCTGCAGTAAACATGGATATGCAGTTATCTCTATAGTATATTGACTTTAGTTCATTCGGGAACATACTGAATTGAGGAATGGTAAAGCAAGATAAGATGATAGCTCGGTTTTTACCTTTGTGAAGAACCTCTATTCTGATACACATTCTATTCCCACCAACAGTGGAGAATTCCTTTTTCCTGAATCTATGCCAGCTTTTTAGTTTGTTTGTTTGTTTGTTTTGGTATTCTGGAGGATTGTTTTGGGTTACTTTGGAAAATAAAACTTTTTCTGTAGAGACTAATGTTGCTTGTTTGATTTCATTATCAGATCAGATCCAAGGTGCGAAGACATGAAAAGTTAGCATCTGGAAATCTCAGCAATTTTGAATTGAATGAATATACCAAAGGCAAACTGAATAAATTTGTTAAAAGATGTGCATGCATCCAAGAATGTGACATTCTGCCTGCATTTATGGATTCTAAATGAGCTTTTTAAGAACACAAGGCATCAGGCATGCTACTCTGGCTATTAATAATAGGAAAACTAAATCTTCCCTCAAAAGGACGCCCTAGATTTAACAACTTCTTGGTAAAAATTTATATTTGGTTGTAATTAGAATGTTTAAAAAGTGTTATAAGCCACTTCAATTTCCTATCATTTATACCATGTTTACTGTAATTTTATTTTTTAATTATTTTAAAACTTTATGCTACTACTTTTTGACATGAATTGTACATGTGAAAAAACTTTATAAGCAACCATGGGTAATTAATATATATTAAAATTTTACTGTGTCACTATCAATAAAAAATATAGTATACCAATTAGTGTGCTTCATTTATGTTAATGGTATTTGGTGTTTTACTGTCCAGCATTTATACAAGGACTAAGACTAAGTTAAACTGAATTTTTATTGTACATTAAGCATTCCTATTCCTACTAATTAGGTAGGTCTTAGGCACTAGTGATGCAAGATAAGACATTCCTGAACTTCATACAGCTTAAATATAATGAGAGAGGATTTGAGAACCTTTTTGTATATGGTACATAATTTTATTTCATTAGCTAATTAAAATACTGCATCTTCAGATTGAGATAATAAAAGTGAATTGTTTGACTTTAATAAGTATTATAACTAACTTCTTGTTTTTTCCTTGCCTGTCAGCTTTTGTTACCTTAAAAAAAAAAATAAGTGTTGGAGGTAACCACCTATTTAAAAAGTTTTATTTTGGCTTCCAGTTTTAGAGGTTTCAGTCTGGGCTTGGCCCCATTGCTTTTGGGCTGTAATAAGGTAGAAGCATGTTGTGTGGGAAGCTACTGGCCTAATATAAGAGTAGCTGATAAGCAAAGATAAGAAAAGGGACTGGGATTACAGTGTCTCCTTGAATGGTACAACCAAAGGGATCTGATGACTTTCCACTAGAAAGCACCTCCCGAAGGTTCTACCTGGTCTTAGTTATTTTCCTTGTTGCTAGGACAAAATATCTTACACCCACAATTTAAGGAGGAAGGGGTTTATGTTGGCTCACAGTTTGTACAGGTTTCTCTCCACTCTGCTGGCTCTAAGGCAGGGTGATGCTAGGATTTAGAGGCAAACAATCTCTTTAGAATGAATGATTCAAGAGCAGAAATGTTACAGATTTTAGACATACGGAAATATCTACAGAGAGATAAGTGACATGATTGAAACAGTGAGCCTGATAATGGAAAGGTCAGAGACCAGGAGTTACCCTTTCTTTGGTTTGTCTTAAGGCTCTATCTTTGGGCATGAATCACTGTTAAAAATAACTTAAAGTTGTTTTGATACTGAGTTAATTAGTATTACACCTGTGCAGATATTTAGAAGATAGAGTATATTGCCTTTTCCATTTCCCTGACCACCAAGATCTAGTTTATAAATAACTGCGTAATTTTCACATAAACATTCTATAGAAACAACTTGGTCAGCAGTGTAATTTTAGGATGCCATATAAGTGGGTAAAAACAAATTATTTCATTTATATTTAGCATAGTGTGTAATTAAAATTATTATTAAAAATGAAGTGAGTATTTTGTCATGTTTAGACATCACTTTACTATAAAGCTTAATTCATTAGCCTGTACATTAGGATATAGTTCCCTAAAATTTTCAACTCTTACATGTTTTGCATTTTAATATTTGTATATGAGTCTATTTAGTTTATGCTGTATAAATCACTAATTGGCTGAGTATTATCTATTTTTTTCTTCACTTATGGGCTACCTACAAAAATTATGATTTGTCTCCTCATTACTTTAAGATATTTTTCTTTCTTGAGAATTTTGGTCCACCAGTATTGTGATTACATAAATATATGTAGTTACCCTTGAGAACAGTTGACTTAATTCAGGCCACTGTAACAAAGTGCCATAGACTGAGTGACTTACCAAGAACAGAAATTTACCTTTTACAGTTCTTTAAGTCTGAAATTCAGGACACCAGTATCATTGGATTCTGGTGAGACCTGTCTTCCAGGCAGCCAGGGGCCATCCTCTCATTTTATACTTACAGGGTGGAAAAAAGGGGAGCGTGCTCTATGGGTCCCTGTTTTAAGGGGATTCGTCCTAGTACACCCTCACATGGCTCCACTCATAACCTAATTACTGCCTCCCAAGGGCCCTACCTTTTACTACTGTGTCGGGGTTAGTATTTCACCTGTGAACTTTGGTATTTGGTATTATTATAACTGGTATTATTCACAGTAATCCAGTATTAACTAGCTTGCCAGCCATTGCAGACCATTGCAGTACTCAAGGCTAATTCGTCTTGCTTATAACTACAGTACATTAAAATAATGCTCTTATTTTAGCTTCGATTGTTCTTATCATCTGAATCAATGATTATCTTTTATCTCTTAATTTAAAAAGTAAATGACTGATAGAAATTCATCTGAATGAATATGTTTGTTTACTTCTTTGGCTAATGAGAATAGTGCAGCAATTGAGAAGTGATTATTGTGTCTAACGGATGTTTCAGTTAATTTTGTTATTTTTTTATTATTACATGTTTGTAGTGAATCTTAGTATTGACATTCCTGCTCAGGTTTGCAACAAACCATTATTGACTCTTCCAGTCACTGAATTTTAATACCACATTAAGTAGCCTCATCAATATGCAATGTTAAAATTTTTTTCTCTCACAGTTTAGAACAAACAGGGAGGAAAAATTAAATCTTCAAATATCAAGTCATCAAGTAATTTAAGAAGTGATCCAGGAATAGTGTTTCACAATGAAATTTGGATGGAAATACAGTAATAATGAAAAATATTTGTATAGCTTGTATTACATGCCTATACTTTATAAATGCTTTATATATATATTAATTCATTAAATCATCCTGTGAGCCCTGAGAGGTAAATGCTGTTATCTGTTATATAGATCGATGTCAGCAAACTTAACTTTTTGTATGGCCCTAGAAGTAATTATCTTACGTGTTTATAGGATTTCATTTTTTAAAAAAAAAGCATCAGAGACAGTACATGACATCTAGAGTGTAAAATGTTTGCTAGCCAGCCTTTTACACAAAAGTTTGCTGAGCTCAAATAAGGCAAGATAGGTTAGTAATGTGCCTATACGACATACTGCAATATATGGGGGAATTTGGGTTTTAAGTACATAGTATCTGGTTTCAGAATCTGTGTTCTTAATTTCTACATGACTTCTCAAAAAGCTAAAGCTTATTCTAAAATGAAATAATAGATGTTGAAAGTACTTCATAAATAATTATATTTGAAATGAAAAATCAGATGCAAATGTCTAAAACATAATCTGTTTTGAAATCCTTTATGTCTCCAGTCCCCAAAGATTAAAAAAGTAGTGTTTGCCTTTTAAAGCTTTTTTCCTTTCTTTTCTTTGAATGGGTAGCACGAGACTGGCAGATTTTGAAGCATCAAACATGTTAATTTTTAAAATATAGTCAAACATACAATTGTCCACAAGCATCTGACTTGGACTTTCAGATTTCCCCATGAATTTTACTAACGTGTTGAACAAATGATAATTAGTGTTGATTGTCTTGATAAGTATATGATAGACTACAGAAATATTTATAATTTGCATATATTTGTATTTTAAATTATGTTATCACAAGTAACTATAGCTTGAAATATTTCTTAATTATAAATACAGTTATGTTTTTGTTTTCTGGAATTATACAGCTCAGAAGAATACATAAGACTTCAATCTTCTTGCTGGAGGATCAAAAAGGAAAACCTCACAGGACTGAAAATTTCCAGGACATTGGAGAAAGAGATTGTCAAAGCAACCCCATAAAGTAATTCATGGGCTTCTAGGATTGACCTCATCATGCATATGAATCCCAAACTCACTTTAAAAAGTGGACAGTGTACAAGATATATTTGGTAATGCCATCCCCAGGTTGGCCACTTGGTATAAAGAGCAACAGTTTTGAAAACAGAAGTATCATTACAATTAAGGGCAGGAATAGAGCTCCATGGCATTGCACCTGCTTGGCAAGTGCAAAGTCCTGAAAAATTAAAAAGCGACAAATTATGTTGAAACTATTGACCTGAAACCAACAAGCTTGAATCTTGTTTTAAAAATGATCAGCATCTCATAGAATTTAAATAGTCTGAATGGAAAATAATATTCCAAATGTCCAAAAAATAATCCATTGTTGCTACATACTCTATACAGAAAAAAAAAAAAAAATTGGAAAAGAAAAGGCAAAAAGCCTCAGAATTGACCTTTAATGACAAGGACATTAAAACAGCTCTTACAAGAATGATCAAAGTAAAGAACAGAACAAATGGAGAAATGTTAACATAAAACATAGCAAAGAAAATGAAAATTTGAGGACTAAAATATACCTGGAATAAAGTCTCATTGGAAGATTTTACTGCAAAATGGAAATGAAAGACTTTAGAAACTTGATGACAAATTAGAAATCAATCTAAATATCTAGAAAAACTGACTTAAGAATCTTAGGGACTTGTGAATATTAAACAGTCCACATTTATCAAATCAAAACTCTTAAAAAGAAAAAACTAGAGTGTATAAAAAGTATTTGAAATCATTTCAGCTAAAGTTTTCAAATTGGATGAAGCACTCAGGCATAGGTCAACAGTATGTTGCCTCTTAGTATAAAAATTAAAGAAGCTAGTGGGATCCATTTTGTACAATACATTCTGTGAAAGTAAAAGGGGAGGGACTGTCTAAATAGGAAAGGCAATGGCCATTGTTAATTATCGTTATTTGAAACCCATATTGTTTTTGTTGTTCTGTTTAGTTTGGTTTTATTCTGTTTCAGTTTGTCTAATCGTATTATATTTGATGGCATGGACAGCTATTTCAAAGATAACAAAATATATTATGGTAGCCATTTTTTATTTCTTATTAGCTTGATTTGAAGCTCTGTATTGCTTTCATTGTTTTGTTTGAATGATTTTATTCTATTTTGTTTTGTTTGATTATATCATGTCTAATAGTATAGGCAACTACTTTAAAGACAGTAAGATGCATTATGATACCCATTGTGGTTTTACTATTCTTTTGAAGTCCTATACTGTTTCCATTGTTTTGTTTTTATTGGTTTTATTCTGTACTATTTTGTTTGATTTTATTATGCCTGATGATATGGGCAATTCTTCTAAAGATAATAAGAGGCATTATGGTAGCCATTGTTGATCTCCTTGTATTTTGTTTTTATGTCAGGTACTATGTTCATCTTTTTGTTTTGATTGACTCTATTCTGTTTTGTTTCATTTGGTTTTATTCTCTTCAAAATAAAAAAATTTAAATTAGAAAACATTGGGTGAAGGTCTAAAATTGGTGAAGGGGATACCTAACAGATTTCAGAAGCTCAGCATGAAAGCAGTGAGAGGAAAGAACTCATTACCCAAGTTAATTCAAATGATGGTTTCTCATCAAAATGAAATGGCACAACATTTTTAAAAGAACTGTTAGACCAAAATCGTGTGTCTACCAAAGATGTCCTTCAGGAATGAAGATAAAATGGTACCTGTGAAGAAGAAAACTCAATAATGGGGCTGGGGATTTAGCTCAGCGGCATAAGTGCCTGCCTTACAAACAGGCAGTCCTGAGTTCGATCCCCGGTACCAATAAAAAGAAAAAAGACAAAAAAAAAAAAAAAAAAAAAAGAAAGAAAACTCAATAGCATTTATTGCTATAAAACACTGTAAATAAAATTCTTCAAATAGTGAGATAATAACAAGGCAACTTAAATGAACATATTTTGTTCTTAACGTGTTTGACACTTGAAAATATTGTGTTTCCATGTATGTAAACATAATAGCTAAGACACCTACAAAATGGAGTAGAAGAGTAAACTGTCCAGGATGGTACTTTCTACATAACTCTTGAAATAGTGCTTTTTCTAAATGTCTGAAGAGTTCAGTATGTTTGTATGCCTGTAATTCCAGCATTTGAAGACAGAGGTAGAAGAATTGCCTCACTTTCAAGACTAAGTTTTACTACATAGTGTAAGACCATCGTGAGCAATGAACTATGTAAACAAGGACCTCAAAACAAAACAAAAATAAATAGAAAGAACAAGAAAACTACACCAAGAAATGCATTTGAGAACAATTGGAATACCAATCTGTTCAAATGATCCAAAAGAAAAAGCAGAGTAGGGGCTGGGGATTTAGCTCAGTGGCAAAATGCCTGCCTGGCAAGTGCAAGGTCATGAGTTTGATCCCCAGCACCCCCCCCCCCCACAAAAAAGCAGAGTAATAAAGAAGCAAAGAGAAAATGTCATTCAATAGTAGACCAAGCATATAATGAACTCAAGCATGTAATAAATGATCTAAACATATCAATTCAAAGGAAGAGTGAATGGAAAAACTATCCAGCTTTATGCTACCTACAAGTAATTTGTACCAAGTAAAAGGATACATATGCAAGTACAAAGGTAGAGAAGATTTACTACAAAAAGAAAGCTGGAGTGACTGTATTAATATCGAACTGAGTAGAGGTATTGAGATTAAAGATTGGCACTATAGAATACTAAAAGGTTAAGTCACTAAAAACAAAACAATATAAAATGTGTATACACCTAAAATCAGTTTTCAAATATATGAAGAAATAGCCTCAGCTATCTGCTCTCAATAAGGGATTCATATTTAAAATTCAGGTAAATAAATATAAATAATATAAATATATACTTGGAATATTATGGAAACTAAATGTAAAATAGTTTGGTTATATTAATATTAGATATACTTCAAAAATTAATATTAGGTACAATACAACAAAATAAAGGATTAGCCGAGAAAAAGGACATTACATTATTTATCAAAGAATAATGGGTGTGTATGTATGCAATTACAAAGTTACAAAATATAAACCAAAAATTGACAGATAAAGAGGGAAATAGACAATTCTACAATTGTCACAAGAAATTTAAATTTTATGTAGTAATTGATAAATTAACTAGAACATATCCATACACACAGATGATCTAAATGAAATAAAATCAACCAAATGATGTTTATAGAACATCCTCAGCCAACTACTAGAAATTATTTCCATAAGTAAAACAATCCAACTTTCTGAAGCAACCTGCCTAACACGAGAAAATGCTCACAATATACATATCTGACCAAAAAAGTGTAAAATGTTACATCAGTAAAAAGCCAAAACAATAAAATATTAACAAAGTATTTGAGCTGATACTTCACAAAATAATATGGTCAAGTGACCAATATGCACAACCACCTGGAGATCCTAGTTTGATTTCCTTCCCATTGGAGAAGGGAGTTACATGGAAATCAAACTCCATTGAGTTAAACCGAAAATACTGGTGTGAGCTCATGGTTTTCAAAATACAATAATAGATGATAAGTAGAGGATGATGGATAGATATAGAGATAGAGATATGATTTGTGTGTATATATCCATATGTGTGACTCCAATAGCAATGAGCACTATGGTACTCAGAAATCAGATTCTTGGTTCCGTTCTCCAATGAAAAGATCCAGGCATCTTTGGGAAAATGACTAATTCTAGAACTGGAGTACTAAATGAGCCTGGCATGTTTCTTTTTCTAGAAGATAACAATGTGCTTAAAGAATGGTGCAGATATGACAAAATGTCCAACATGATACTTTAAAGGGGCTTAAATTGACTATACTTCAGATATTTGGAACATAAGAATAAAAATACTAATGAATGATAACTCATTGAATAAAGTAGGACTTAAATATCCATATAAATAAATGAAGAGAAAACCTACACATAAATACAGAAAGAATGATAGATGAGAAAATAATAATTTTGCGGTCATCAATATCAGCCTAGAAATCCAGTGGATGCTAAAAATAACGACATGTTGTCAAGTAATGGAATATTTACACATCTTCAATGAAGCTAACTCTCCACAAAAAAAAGAGAAGGGGGAAAAGTAACTTTACAATGGAAAAAACTTGCAGATGCTACCTTAATCAAATGATCTGAATTAACATCATCTGTAATAGGACAAATTAAAATCATGTATCAACTAGCATAATATGAAGAAAATAGTTTTACTCTATTGTTATTATTGCTAAAAAAATGGATGGCTTGAATGGAACTATAGGGGGAAAACCCACTAGACATTTTCAAATAGAAGGATGCCTTGCCTCTCCAAAAAATGTGGTCTATAAAGTTCAAAAATGTCACAGTCATGAAAAGCAAGGGAAGATGCAGGATTTTTTCTAGAATAAAGAAACTGAGGAGTCATGGCAGCTAAATTTGATACATGATTGTGGCCTGGATCACTTTGCAAAAAATAACATAAATGAGACAATTAGCAAAACTTGAATGGGGGCTGAAGATAAAAAGGCAGGTTTTGTTAACATTAATGAGAATTTACTTAGGAATTCTTAAAATTTGTAGACTTTATAATGTTGCTGCCAATTTTTAAGGAAAAAAACCATTTTAATCACTAATTATAAATATGGGCTAGGTGCCTTTCTGGATGTCACAGTAGTACCATTATCAACCTGACAACTTTTATAGTGAATTAAGGAAATGGCTGTGACAGAGGAAATTCACGTAAGAATGCCAAACAGCTGTCAAACTGATTCTTGTGTTTATTTGATTTTAGTTCTAAATTAGGCATTTGGTTAGTAGAAAGACTTCAGCCTGACTTACTAGACTAACCTGTCTTATGTAGTAACTGGCATCTGTAAACTTGAATTATGTAGGTCATAGTAGGATCAGTGCAGCTGTTTCTCCACCTGCTATTTATGATTGTCATTTACTTTTTTAATTATGCAATTATTTTAAAGAAGGTCAAGCGAATGTAGCAGAGTTCACTTATAGTTTCATATTAACATGCCAACCCCTTGTATGTCCTTGTATGACACAATACCTGATGATTCACAATTGAATAGCATCTGTTTATTACCATATTTCCTCACTAAATTAGACAAAGCAGATATTAATTATGTGTCTATTGTTGGCCAGTATTGTACACACTCCCAATGGTCCCAATACTACCTTTTCACTGGGATGATATTCTTACTATAAATCTGTTTCGAGGTGCTTTTAACAAAGTTTTGGTTGCAGGACTTTCTCATTTATGCTTTTTGGAGTTTTGGTTTGTGAAATCTACCACAAATCAATCACAGCCTGCCGAGGATATAAATTAATAACTTTCTCTCCCTTTTTCACGCATATGTATCTCCTACTGTTCACAGGTATCACACTGTCTTACAGTTTTGTAACTGTTGTTTAGTTCTATGTTTCCCTCTGAAACTGAATTTCTTTTTTTTTTTTTGTCTTTTTCGTTTTTATCGGTACCAGGGATCGAACTCACGACTGCCTGTTTGCTGAGCTATATCTCCAGCCCCGAAACTGAATTTCTTGAGGGAAGATCACAACAATGTTTTCCAATTATCAAACCTGGCCTGGAAGTATATTGAATGGGCAGCTGGCTATACAATAATTTTGTAAACAGGACGTTGGGGATTTATTCTTACTATTTTGTTTTTAATATATAGCCCTCCTACCAACTTTCTAATCAAGCTTGAAACAGCAAACAGTGGAGAAATGAATACTAAGTGAATGATCCATAGATAAATATTTCAGATATTTTTGTTTTTTTCTGAAATGCAGAGAGACCCATAAACTTTTCTTTTTTTCATTTTTATCGGTACTGGGGATCAAACTCACAATCGCCTGCTTGCAAGGCCAGGTGCTTATGCCGCTGAGCTAAATCCCCAGCCCCGAGACCAATAAACTTTTCAGTAACTATTATTATGATGTTGTTGGTGGTGTTATAAACTATGACTATCGGCATTTTCATTTTCTGACTACCTTGTTATGCCACTAAAGGATTTTCCAGTAGCTATTTGTTGAATTTTAATTAAAGATACATTTTATTTTAAAATTGTAGGAGATTTAAACTACAAAACCCAAATGTAGTTACAGAATATCCAAAAGTGGTGGGAAGAACTGGGATGAAAATGGCAGAATGAGTGCATTTCCATTCCCCTGAGGCTGTATGGGTTGATGCCTTCAGAGAGACAGCTCTTATACTGTGACATTGTCAGCTATTTCTTTAATGAGTATGTGACTGATCATTTGAAGGGGGATTCTTGTTGAACCAGATGGCAGTGGAATCATCCCCCTAAATTTTTGAATTATACAAAATGAATCCCAATTGTCAGGTTTATACAAATAGCTTTTTCTTTTATCTTATAGATATGGAAATTATAAGCAGTTTGTAAATATATTTGCCTATATGAGAAATTAATTAAATCACTTTTGTGAATAGTGAATGCCTATAGGTGCCAGTTTTGGGAGTTGAAAGAAATAAAATAAAATAGAATATAGAACATAAAAATGAATGAACACTTAAGAATGGTTATTATTAGGAAATCAATTATGAAAATTTTTTATTTTGATTTTTCTGTCAATATTTGTGTTGTCATTTATAAAAAAATTAATTTATTTTGCTTATTCTCTTTTACTAAAGAGAATGCTTGTACAGTACTTAATAGCACCCCATTATAACAGAGTCATATGTTTATTATTGTATTTTCCTAGCCCTGAATGCCCTTTCCATTAATTTTATAAGTGAAAAATAATTGTGAAAATGTGTTCAGGTACATTAAATAAAATTTGTTATATCTTTTCATGTTGATAACATGAAAAAAGAAAAACAAGTGAAACACATTTCAGTATCTATATCCTTATTTATGAAACATAACAGTGTAAAGTCGTTTCCAGAGGGTGTAGCAAGGGCAAACCCAAACATAAAACCTAAAGTTTGGCCTTCTGTTTTATCTTTCATATCTTTCTTTTGTTTGTTTGTTTTGTTTGTTTGTTTCTTTTCATATCTTTCTTTTGTTTGTTTCCATAGGTAGTTATTTTTTTTTCCTTTACCAATGAAAAATTGACTGGAAGAAGTGACAAAATTCACTTTTTAGAATAGGACAGACAGATAAAAATATTTGATGTCTGGTTCTTTTTCTTATTTACAAAGTTAAGCCATAATTTGATGAAATTTTATAAATCTTTAAAAATTAATGTAATTTATTAAGAAAAATATTTGCCACATTTCTCAAAAAGTACATTCTCTGCAGTGATACTTGGTCTCAAATTGATTTAGGTTACTACATTTAACAATAGTTTAAATATTCTTAAAGTTTGTTTATGATATGATTTCAGAATAGTGTATGGAAGAGTTCCATAGATAAGTTTGTAAAGTTTATGTTCAGAACTATATTCATTACTTCAACATTCATTTATAATCAAAGTGAACTTATTTTTGTTCTATATGATGAAACTCATGTTAACAGAAATAACGTTATTCTAAATTTTAGATTAGGTAGTCCCATGTGAAAACTGTAGTTCATTATATTTGGGAATGTAGCATTTCAGCTGGCTTTCTCACCTAAGCAAAATATTTGCCTACAATATCAGCTGTTTCTATGTCTTGTTTTTAAATCATTTGCAAAAAGTCAAACTGGAAAGAAGGTATCCATACTAAAAGCAGTCAGACGTCTGCGACATGTAAGTTAAAAACCTTCAAAATTTAAAAAAAAATCCAATTCAAACCAGTTTTTGTTTTACTCATCTTAAAGTTTATCTCATGAAACTATTAAAATGTATAGGCCACACTATTAAAGTCCAGAAATTTATAAATAATTATTCTTTGCAGGATGGGTACATTAAAATTAAATCAGAATTGCTTAATATAGTTCATAGGTTATGTAATCAGATTAAATATTTTGGAGAAATAGAATATGGGGCTGAGTTTGTCATCTAATGGTGAATTATTATTTTGAGCTATTATTTATGTCACGTAAGCTGTATAAGTAACATAACATGATTATAATGTTGATATCTTTTGAGCCACACAACAGACATCATGAATTGATATAAACAACTATTTTACAAAATTGTTTATAATCTATTTGCTGAAATATGTTGGTATTTGTGCATTTTTAAGAGTATAATTTTCAATATTGACAAATTTGCCCCATGTGAAAATATATATTTAACTTTAATGGTATTACAGTTTTTAAATAATTAATTTCTCTTTGTAGGTATATCAAAAGCATAGAAGAATAAATGTAATTTAGGTAAAATACAAATTACTTAATTTAAAATTAATTAAAAATGTGTTTGAAAGGTGTCAATCTCTACGTGTTCTGCAAATAAAAATCAGAAAACAATGCAATAAAACCCAATGTATTCCAAAGAAGTCTGAAAACCAATCATTTTAAAATTTCACCATCTGCTCTCATTGAAGCAGCAAGACTAGGAGGCTTTTCTCCATGTTACAAACAAAGATAATCAAAATGTAAACCATGAGAAATGCTAACATCATCTCCCTCTCTTATTTGTTGTGTGGTTTTTAATGAAAGCTTGAGTATACAAACAAAGAAAAGGGGAGGATATTCCCTCACCCCATCTCCTAATTGAGTGCTTATATCCAGTAATAGCTTTCTGCTGCCCTGGGCAGCATGACATTGCCTCATTTGGCCACGCATAGCTATTATTCCAAGAGGCAGCCAGCGAAGTGCCCCAGTCCATCTGCTTGCTTTGTCATGGGCTGGTGCGTTCCTTGATGTTGACAGCTGTCTTAATATTCCTGGGCCACCTGCCACACAGTAAATACTGTGCTCTAAGATATATTCAGTGGTTTATCCCTCTGGTGGAGTTTTCAGAAGAAAAAAGCCTGTCATTTTGAAACTACTTTTGCATTCTACTTTAAATGCTTCAAGTATCAGCCCTTCTTGTCTATTATCATACTTTTGAGGCATAGAGTACTCACACTTCAGGAATGGTGATTTGATTACAGTTTGATGAGGTTTAAATTTTCTCATACATCACATATCATTATTGTATTTTTGTGGAAGTTATGTGGTTACAGGAGTTGAAGAAAAGGAGAACATATTGACATTATTTCCTCAGGGTCGATCCTTGGAACCGATAAAAATGAAAAAGACAAAAAAAAAAAAGAAAAGAAATATTTCTTCTGCTTTGTCTATGTGCTCATCTGTTTCCCCTGTCAAATTTGTTTCTTGAGGGAAAGCATTCAGTCTTATGCATCACTGCATCTTTGTAACCCTCATAACATGCATCTACACAATATGTACTGATAAAAAACAGATCTAGGTTTTATAGGATCTAAGTTTTGATAGGGGATTTATCTAAAGAAAAAAGACTTTTAAAATTAGACATAACAATGACATCTAATGCCATGAATGAAAAAATGCATAGAATGAAAAATGCAAAATACCAATGTTAAAAGATTGACCAATCCTACAGTGTTAACAAGGCCTATATAAATATTTTTCTATTAACTGCCTGACAACTGTATATTTAAAAACTAATTTTGATAGCATATTACTTGATGACCTTATAAACAGGTGTTCAAACATGCAATGCTACACATACAGTTCATGGCAAACAATTATAATAAATTTTATTTTACATGAAACAGAAAAATAGTTGTTATAGAAATCATATACACTGGATTATTGAACACATGACTGATATAACAGAAATTACATCAGTCAAAAGTAATTCTGCCAGGGTATAGTGATGTATACCTGTCTATGTTATGGGTTTGTATTGCCCCCACTATTCATTTTAGGGGTCTTTTATAAAACTTACATTATTTTACCCCTTTGCAAGCTGTGCATTAATAGAAAAGGTTCTATCTGGATTATCACTAGCATTATTTCTATGGCACTGTAGAAAATTTCAGCATTTAGGATTTTACATATTTTTGCTCTGGTCCTTCATACTTGGTGAGGTGAGTGGTTCCTGGAGACATTATGTGGACAGTGCCAGCATTTTCCTGAAGCCCAACTTTTTAGAGAAGTACTATTAAAACCATAATTCATTAATAAATCTTACTGTTTCCCACCCACTTTGATTCCCTGAAAACTTCCTCAACACTGTATCTCTAGATAGGCATTAAGGTACACAGCTTGTTTTGGTCACAGAATAAATGAGCGACACATCTGGCAGTCATTTAACATTCCTTTGGGGACATGAAATATTCTTTAAGCCTTCTAATTGGAAGAGTTTGCTTTAGCTCTCTGTACTTTTAACATTTCTTTTAATCTTCTTTAAAACGGATTTACTCTAATAAAGTTGGAATTGGGAGCTTGTCTTATTCTAGTGTATTATCCTACCCTTTGCTTGTCTTCTGAGACTTATTTTCTGATCCCAGTTGAAGGAAACTGATTTTCTTGACTTTAGGGGGTTAAATCTCGCTAACAACAAACTGCGCAGAATGCCCTATGCGCTGCTAGTTAGTAGGAGATACAAGGCTTCTGCGAGGTAGCTGCAGGGTAGGGTTCAGGAAAGCTCCAGAAGGCTGGTGCTGAAATGACCTGGTGTGCAACATACTCGTCAGAAATATTTCCCTCCCAGAAACACAATTACAGTTGTGTTAATCCATGTGAGGTGAACAGATCTTAACGTTTTCTGTACTAGCTGCAAGTATATATAAAATATATATAATATATATATTACACCATATTATTGTACTTCAATGTTTATTTTAAAGCTAATTTTTAGAACCTTGTGGTTTCCAAAGTCCAGTTATGTCTGAGCAACGACTCCAAATATTTGTTTCAACTTTCACAAGTTTGAATCATACAAGTTTTCCATCGTTGCTTTTGAAAAAGGGCAGAGTGGTCAATAAGGTGGGGAGTTAGATCTTCACAGCACATCCGGATTAGGAAAAGTTCGCATGTAGGTAGGCAGAGCTAAAAACAAGTTGCTGACAGCTAAGGCCCCCCTTTCTCTGACAGCATCTGATGTGGACGCCCGCAGCTCCTGCACGCCCGCAAAAGGCTGGCTTTGAAGTGGCTGCTTGCTAGCGCAGGGGAGCCCAGGGCTTACGCTGGTACTGCATCTCACCAGGCGTTCTGGAAACCTTAATTACACCCCTCTTTCAGGAGTCTGAAAACTGCCCACCACTCCCTAAGATGAAAGTGATCCTTACGTACGGCAAACACGTATTAAAACAAGAGGAAGGAAAGCAGCAGCAGTAGTGAAGCCCAGCCGCACGGAACAGCCTCAACTCCTTCGCGCGGGAAGCCTGGAGCGGCGCGGCTGCGAGGCGGGCGCCCCCACCGGACCGCACGAGCCGGGAGCGGGGCAGCTGCGGCGGCTCGGGCAGCTCGCGGGCTACTGGCGGGGCTCCTTCGGGGCGGGGAGGGACGGGGCGGGGCGTCGGCGAGGGCGGGGCGGAGCGGCCGCGGCCGCGAGCGGCGCTGTGGGCAGCGTGTCTCATCCGCCTCTCCTGCCCGGGATGGACTGAGCCGAGTCCGTCCTGAGGAGCCGGCCGGGCCGGCACCGCCTCGTCGCTTCCCCGCGGACGGCCCCGGGCCGGCGGACGCGCGGCGGAGATGTCCGGTGGCCGGAGGAGGGGCGGCGCGCCCTGGCACAGCTTCTCCCGGTTCTTCGCTCCCCGAAGCCCTTCCCGGGACAAGGAAGAGGAAGAGGAGGAGAGGACGGGGACGGCTCAGCCGTGCGCCCCGCGCCGCGCCACTGCCAGGTGGGAGCCCCGGGGGGTGCGGGGGCCCGGCCCGCCCGCCGCCGGCAAATCCCGCGCCACTTTCTGTTCTTGCTCCATTGCTCAAGTTCCCTCCTCCTCGTCGTCCGCCTCCCGGCGCCTCGTCCCTGCGCGCTGCCGGGCTTGCCCGTGAGTGAAGCCCTCGCCCCGCAGCGTCCCCCGCAGCACCCGGCGCGGCCGGGCCGCGCCGTCCTGGTCCTGCCCCGCCGAGCGCGGCTCTCTCACGGCCCGGCCGCATCCCGCGGCCGGAATGGGAAACACTTGTGCCCGCGTCCGTCCGCTGGCAGCCCTGGAGCAGGGCGCCACCCACCCCGCGGCCGGCCCGACGGATACGGCTTCCGGGCGACCCCTGCGCTGGTCTTTTGCCTTCTTACTTAATTTTCTCAAAACGATTTTTAAAAGGTTTGCAGTGACGATTTCCAAGACTTCGTCAAAGTGTGAAACCCTCGCTAGTCTTGTTTACCACTTGACTCGACATTTAAATGATGCCGCCCTGCCTTTCTGTCCCGTCTCACTTCGGAAACGTCTGCCCCAAATTCCCAAGCAGATTTCACAAACCAGGACTGGAGCTGTCTGGGTTTCCATAATCAAAACGTGCCGTCTCTCCGCAGTGCTTTCTCTTTCTTCTATCTGCTGTAAGAATAGCTGTTTTTAAGTTGTGGCTCCTTAAAATGCCCCGTTATTGAGGCTTTTCACCCATCCTGGAGGAGGAGTACATAAATGAAACACAAGTCGAAGTTTTATAAACTTTGACAAGAGGCTCACAGCCCAGACTGCTCTAGAAGAGCTTGTTACCTACGACCTTGGAAGGACGTTCTCTAGAGGGCTATGTTTATTTGGGACTCCAAAGACTCCACGGTGGGCTTAAAAGAAATGCATTACGAAAGTATATGACTTCATCAAGTGTTGTGGTGCATTTACAGTCTTTTGTGTTCCCCAGTTTCCCTACTTGTGAAACTTTCATTAGGACCATCTGTTAATAAAATACTCATTTCCAAGAAAGTTTCAACTTGGAATAATCGACTAGTTATTTTTATGGGAAGTTTCAGCTATTATCGCCCAGACTGTTAAGGGTTTAAAATTCAAAGTTACACAGTAGTTAAAAATAGTTATGAAGTCTGACAGGTCTGAGCCAGGTTGTCAGATAGGTGAACAGTGGTGCCTGCCATCACTGTAACAACACTAACAGTCATAGCGAATATGAAAACAGTCTTTAAAAGAACTCCCAAGGAGACTTGGTGAAAGTTGGGAACTTGAGAGTCAGTATTGAAAAGGAGTAAGCAGACCAGTTTCAAGTTCACATCAGCATTGTCCTGACATACACCTACATTCCTGGCCTATTTGCCATTTTAAGACTTTTTCCATTCTCTTTTTCTGCCTGGAATTGAACACGTTAGTAATCAGTTCCTCCTCTACCTACCACTTCTCTATTCTCATTACCACCAGATAGGAATGGATTGTGGCTTTTCGACAGTGCAAATCTTAATTGTGTGTATATAAAGCTTCAGTTTGTCTGCATCATTTTTAGAACTTGCCAGATGTTAAGAGGATACCAGATAATCCCATGTGTGGCTATTTGACTATTGTAAATGAGTTTACTTCTTTTCAAGGATAAAAACAAACACAAAGCCATTATTGAAAGTTTAATGAAATAAGAGGAACCACTTAGTAGTACCCAATATCCCAGCAACATAGCACCCTCATGTTAACAAGATTGGAAAGAGAATTGCAATTTGTCACTGTCATTTTATTTCAAAATGAAAAAATATTTTGGCTGGTTTTTTTTCTTTGTGGCAGTAAAAACTTACTGTTCGAAAAAGAGTAGTGTTTACCTTTCCTAGTGGTAATTCTAAATGTAGAGGAGTCAGTGCAATTGGCATGATGTATTTGGTATGGTAAGAATACAAAGATGAATAAGAAAGGTTTTAAGAAGCTCTGAGAAATGGAGAAGATAGCTTGAGAATCTGTGACATGGCTAGCACATGCAGGAATATTGAACTTTTGACAAATCTCCAGGATTTGAGCCATAGAAAAACCTTCATTTCAATGGTGTGGTGAGTTGTTTGGTCATTACATGGTATGAATACATTGTTTGTTTATTGAAATTCCTTCTGTTTTCACGAAAGTTCAGCAGTTAGGGCTTACTAGCATCAATCCTATGTATTTGAATTTAGGTTGCTTGACAGTACTCACTTTGGATGATCAGATCCAAAAACTGCTTATGTTATTTTAAGCTTATGTTGAAATGCAAGGAGCAGTTGAAGTTTTCACAAGAAAATTGAGATCTTCCAGTGTTCTGTGGATCCCAGTTAGAGAATTATTTCTATAGTAGTTAGCCCAGTTTATGAGATCACAGAAGGACTAACTCATTAGAAGTGATAGGGAGACCAGTGGGGCCTTGGGGTATAGGTGATTTTAAATGGCTTTCTAGGAATTGATGATGTTTCTGGACATATAGAAGTTAGCCAAGAGATGAAAATAGGGAACAATCAGTTAAACAAAGGGCTATAGAGGTTTATGACTTTTTAGGAGCTATGCACATTAGTGGGACAGGTGAAAAAAGCAGCCAACCAGAAAGTTAGATTGGCTGACTGAACCTTAAAGGTCTCTAGTATTTGCTCCTTGATTTAGACTTCAGGAAATTTTTCAAAAAGCCTATTAAGCAGGTATTGCTGAAATAAGAAAATTGTGGAAATACCTGCTTCCTTGATGATTGTCCGCATTCCTTTTCTGTATCATGTATGATGGACCTATTTAAAATGAGCTTCACGTAGAGCTGGTCACAGTGGTGCATGCCTTAAATCCCAGCTGCTTGGGAGACTGAAGCAGGAGGATCACAGCTGCTATCCTGGACAACATAATATGTCCCTGTCTCAGAAAAGGCAAAAAAATTAATAGAAAAAGAAAGGAAGGAAAATGAGCTCCTTGTAATGTTGGTAAGTCAGAAGGGAGACAGTAAGGCGGAACAGCATTTATTGAGGTCTGACTGTACACTTACCTTGCCTGGGTACTTACAGCATCTCATCTAAACCACACACTCAGCTTGAAATAGTGGCACATTCTAAAATTCTCTGGACAGTTGAAGAAACTGAGAGTGGGAGAGCACTTAGGGGTAGGTGCTGTCTGTAATTTGAGTACAGCAATCTTTAAACTGGACTGTCCTGTACTTTGTAGGACATTTGGCATCCATGATCCACCTACTAATTGCTGGTAGCATCTCTTGGTCACTGGGATAACACACAACACTTCACCAAGGGGTGGGAGGGGTAGTGGTGCCGCTCCTAATGGAAAATGATTTACCTGAATCGTGAGAGGAGTAAGTGTGTGTGTGTGTATTTATTTATTTTATTTTTGGGGGGTGTTTACTGGGAATCAAACTCAGGACCTAGTGTTTGCCATGCAGGTACTGTACCACTGAACTGTATCCCCACCCGAGAAGAGTAAATTTTAAGAATGAGGGTTGAATTTAGGTTGTTTTGACTTCAGAGCTGTGTCTTTCACTGCTTACCATACTCTCCCCACCCTTCTGAACAATACTTTTTCAAAATGCATTTGAATATGTAAGTGATTTTAGATTGTCCTTATTTTGTTCAAGAAGGGGTGAAAGTGTGGCCTACTTCAGATGCATTCCTTTGGACAGTTCCTTTGAATGGTCTGATGTAATATCCTTGATAGAAGACAAAAACAAAATAATGTGCCTAGACTCAGTGGCACAGGTTGTGTCTTATTCATTTCAGTGTGCCCTATACCTAGCCCAAATGAGGGATCAAACCTGTGTTTGTTGATTGGAGAATTAAAGTGAGCAATAGTATTTTTCAGCTGTGGGTGTGGTCTTCCCTCTCACAGTGGCCATTTAGAAACAGGAAAGTGTTTTGTCACTGTAGTTGAAAATGCAGAAAATTGGGACCAGGTTGTTAATAGGCTTTAATGTAGAGATGTTCTTGTAAAAATCTCAATACTGCTTCTGATGACAAGCCTTAAAGCTGTTGGTCTTCAGGATAAACTACCAACGTGAACTACCATTGCAATTATGTGAGGAAAGGGAGCTTTGTTCTCTGAATTTTCATGGAGATTATATTTTCATTGATTTAAAAACACTATTGAAAATAATTGGTAAATTGTTTAGTTGAATTAGGAGGTACCTGTGCCATGTCAGCACTATGCCTGAAATAATAAAGATGCCTGTATAAAGATGTCTACAAGGAGTGGGTTGTCAGATTCTTAGACTCCTATGTTAACTCAAAGCATAGAACCTACCCTTAGCAATGGAGTGGAAACATAGAACATTTAGGGTGTCAGCACCCTCCTTTTTCAAGTGAGATTTCTGTGTGTTGGGCTTAACAGGATTTCTGTCAGGTGGCTCATTGGGGGCTTCTGTTTCTTGCTGTTGTGATTCCATGGAAACTGAGGTGTATAATGTGAGTTTAGTTATTCCAAAAGTTGGCCTACAAGTTATGCAATTGGGACTTCTGACTTGTACTGAACCAATGATTGTATTTTTTAGCATTTTTTATTCATTTTAGTGGAAAATATTTTTAAAAGATTGTAAAGAAGGAAATAGCTATCAAGAAAAAAATATTTCTTGTACAAGTTCCCATGAAATAAATACACTGAAGCACAGATGTACTGGAAATGTTAATGGTATGAGGCAAACTGATGCAAATTTGAAGTAAAAAAAAAATCAGTTTATATGCTGAAAAGAGAATTCTTAATTTGAGTCTTGGCAGTTCATTGTTTAGAGTGGTTATATGTCCAGTGTAGTGCTTAACACTGGGAGATGAAAAGATGACCAAAATTGCCTTGAATCACTTCATGCATTAATAGTGGAGATGAACATTGTATTTAATTCTGAAATGAGCTTACTGTAAGCTGCATATGATTTTGCCTTGTGATTTGTATGCTCAGAACATACTTAGTGTTTGTTGAATATCATGTACAGGATTGTGTAAGAACAGTAATTGGGTTTTCCAAATACCTTCTCA